CCGTCCCCATGATTTGTTTCCAAGGGTTTTTTAATCCAGGTGCCTGAGCCCACGACGTTTCTGTGCTTCCTACAGCGGCCTTGGTGGTCAGGAACACTTGGCAGGGGCTCCCCTGCCAAGCAACAGTCACTCTCGAGGGTTTATCAATGCCAAGGTGCCTGGGTGGAACTGATGAGACAGGAACTCCAAGGGTGGGTCAGGACAAAAAGTCCTTTAACTGTGAGAGAACACAGAGGTCGATGAGGTCAGTATGTAGTTTCCCAGGAACCGATCTGATTGGGTATGGTGGTGCAGTCTTTGATCCCTGCAGTTTGGGAGGCAAAGGTAGGTGGAAACCTTTGCGTTCGAGGCCAGCCCGGGCTACGTAGTGACACCTTCCACGCAAGCTGGGACTACAGGGAGACCCTGTCTGGAAAAAAAAAAAAAAAAGTTCAAGGTCCTCCTTGGCCACATAAGAAGTTGGAGTTCCACTTGGGCTACACAGGGAGTTCCAGGCCAGCCTGGGCTACTTAGTGATACCTTGTCTCAAAAAGCAAAAATCGAGCCGGGCGTGGTGGCGCACGCCTTTAATCCCAGCACTGGGGAGGCAGAGTAGGCGGATCTCTGTGAGTTCAAGGCCAGCCTGGTCTACATAGTGAGCTCCAGGACAGCTGGGGCTACAGGGAGACCCTGTTTCAAAAAGACCAAAAAAATAAAAATAAAAATCAGGGTAAACCGAGGCACGGACCTAAAACCCTCTGCAGCTCTCACCAGTGCTAACCAAGCCTGCGAGGCTCCCAATCAGTCTCAGAAATTCGCGCCACCCACACCCTCTTCCTCCGCTGCTTTTAAGGAGCCCCTGAAGGGGAGAAAAGGGTGCTGACCTTCCCAGGCGCGCTGTCGCCAGACAGCCTCCGTTCAGGCATTCGCTGAGGGCAGCCCAAGCTTGGGGACTGGAGGGGTGGGCGGGCGGGAGCGGGCTAGCGGCCGGCGCAGGCGCAGTGTAATGGTACGCAGTGAGGCGCACGCGCAGTGAGCAGAGACCGATAAGGGTTCGGCGCAGACGCAGGTGGCCGGGACCGAGCTGCTGGGCGTCTCGCCCATGCGCAGTGTCTACGGGTCGCGAGTACTCACGCGCAGTGGCTTCGCTTCGGCAGTGGCATGGATGACGAGGAAGAGACGTACCGGCTGTGGAAGATCCGCAAGACGATCATGCAGGCGAGTCGCTCGTGGAGAGGGTTTGAGGGAGCATGGGATGGAGGGCTGATGCGGGTGTCAGGCCTGCGGGGTCCGTAAGGGAAGGCAGTCAGTCCCCTGCCTCACCTCCCAGTGTTGGTATGCATCACGGAGACTTCCAACTCGTCACAATCCCCCAGCCTGAGCTCCCCAGTGCTGGGATTCATTCCATCTGTGGGGTCTACCCAGGGTGGCCTCGACTCGTGGCAATCCCCCTGCCTTAGCTTTCCCAGTTCTGAGATTCATCCCTTTTGTGTGAATTCCACTAACATTGACCTACAGCTTATTACCATCCCAGGGTTTCCTGCACGCTGCAGAGATACTCAATTCGGCCCTTGATGCTTTATTATTTATTTAGAGACAGAATTTGTTATAGGAGAATTTCCCTGTAACCCCAGCCTGGAACTCTCTGTACGTAGCCCAGGCTAGCCTCAATCCCACAGAGATCTCCTTCCCTCCTTCCTGAGTGCTAGGATTAAAGCTGTGCCCACCACACCCCTCTTGTTTATCCATTTGCCTCAGCATGCCTCATTGCCAAGCTAGACCCCAGCCCTGTTTTCTGACACAAGTTCTACTGTCCCAGTGTGGGACTGGGGCCCAGCTGGTAGAGCAATGACCTAGCATGCAGGGAGCCCTGGGTTCATCCCCAGCACCATTTAAATCTGTGGTGGTGGCACACACCTGACTCTCCAACTTGAGGCAAGAGGATTAGGAATTCCAGGTCATCCTTGGCTACTTAGGGAGTTTGAGTATAGCTTGGGCTACCTGAGACCCTGTCCCAAGGAGAAAGCTGGGCATGGTGGCACACATCTTTAATCCTAGCACTTGGGAGGCAGAGGCAGACCAATCGAGAGTTTGAGACCAGCCAGAGCTACATAGTGATTTCCAGGTGAGCTGTGGCTACAGGGAGACCCTACCTCAAAAAACAAACAAAAGGGCTGGAGAGCTGGCTCAGTGTTTAAGAGCACTGGCTGTTCTTTCAGAGGATCCGTGTTGGAATACCAGCACCCATATGGCTGCTAACAGCCATCCCTAACTCCAGTTCCAGGGGGTCCAGTGACCTCTTCTGCCCTCCACCATCACTGCATAACATGGGTCCACTTACATATGTACACATTCATACATACACATAAAATAAAATGAATGTGTAATTTTTTTAAAAACCTGCACAAACTTAAAAAGAAGTTTAGGTTTTTGGATTGGGTAGACAGGGCCTCAGTGAACAAAGGGGTGGTTAAAGATTGTTTGGGGTTATTTGTTTACATTTTTTTTTTTTTTTTTTTTTTTTTTTTTGTATTCTGTGTGTGTGTGGGTTTCTGCATGTGTGTGCAATGCCCATGGAAGCCAGAAGAGGGCATTGGTTCACCTGGAACTGGAGTTACAGACCATTGTGAGCCACCATGTAGGTGCTGGGAACCAAACCCAAGTCCTCCTGCAAGAGCAGCCAGTATTCTTAACCACTGAGCCAACTCTCCAGGCCCTGTTTGGGTTTCACCGTTTCCTGGTGCAGCTCTGCCAGCTTGGTCCTTCATTCTTAGGACCCAGGACCATGACCCAGAAAGCAGCCATGTGGCCTCTGAGTTCTTGAGCTTTGCAGAGGGCCTGGGCTACTCTGAAGTCTTTGGCTATTAGTCCTAGCTGACTCTGGGGAGGCTGGATGATCCTGTTCAAGGCTAAGGCTACTTCAGGTCACTTGCCACAGTCCCTGTCACACTGGCTGTTTCCACAGCTGTGTCATGATCGCGGCTACCTAGTGACCCAGGATGAGCTGGACCAGACCCTGGAGGAGTTCAAAGCACAATTCGGGGACAAGCCCAGCGAAGGACGGCCTCGGCGGACAGATCTCACAGTGCTAGTTGCCCACAATGATGACCCCACAGACCAGATGTTTGTGTTCTTTCCAGGTGAGGCTGGGGGAGGCGGTCTTCCAGTACCTGGCTGAGGTGCAGTTCATGTTCCTGTGTCACCCTCCTTCCCCTCATCCCCACAGCCACTCAGGAGCCTTCCCCCCCCGAACCCTGAGCATCCCAGGCCCCCCAGGACTTCCTTCTGCCTTGCTTCTCTCTCTGCCTCCTACCAGTTGCTGAGTGTGAGGCTGAGGCAGCATCCTGCCTTCTCACCTCCCTGGTACCCACCTTGGATCCTGGAACACCATCATGTTTGCCTCTGAGCCCTGTTCTATACCCTTGTGTGTCTAGCACCTGGGGAACCCAGCCTAGTGCCTGGTGTGAGAGATACAGGAACCAGGGCTGGAACCCAGCATTGAGGAGGCAGAGGCAAACTCATAGGTTTGAGACCAAAAAGATAGCTGTGCCTGGTGGTGCACACCTTTAATCAAGGCCAGCCTGGTCTACATAGTGAGTTCCAGGCCAACTGGGGCTATCGGGAGAACTTGTCTCAAACAAAATACAGGCATGGCACAGGTGGCTCTTGGAAAGGTTTCCCCTAGGCCCAGGTGTTTATTGGAGAGCCTGGGCCGCCCCATGCAGCTGCCTCTCAGCCTCCCCAGAACTTCCCTGGGCTCCAAGGGGACAAAGTGCCTATTGCTGTGCCACAGAACAGCCATTCTGTGGTGCTGGGGCTTCAGGGTAAAATTTGGAGATGTTGGAGGTAGAGAGCTGGCTCAGCAGTTAAGGGCACTGGCTGCTCTTGCATAGGACCGTGGTTCAGTTCCCAGCACCCACATGGCAGCTAACAACCATCTATAACTCCAGTTCCTGGGGATTCTCTTCTGACCTCTGCTGGCAGTGCACAACACAGGTATACTTACATACAAGCAGGAAAAAAATACTACAAAAGAATGAAAGTTCGGGGCTGGAGAGATGGCTCAGTGATTAAGAGCACTGACTGCTCTTGCAGAGGACCCGGGTTCAATGCCCAGCACCCATATGGTAGCTACGAACTGTCCTTAACTCCAGTTCCAGGGGAATCCGAAGCCCTCTTCTGACCTCCACGGCATTGTACAACATGGGTGCACTCACATACATGCAGGCAATACACTCATACACATAAAATAAAAATAATAAAATATTTTTTTTAAGTGAAAGTGAGGTGTGGTGGCACACACCTTTATTCCCAGCACTCGGGAGTCAGAGGCAGGCAGATCTCTGTGAGTTCAAGGCCAGCCTGGTCTATATAGTGAGTTCCAGGCCAGCTGGGGCTGCCGGGAGACCCTGTCTCAAAAAGACCAAAAGAAAAAAGAATTGGGGTTGTAGGGGTGGGCATGGTGGTGTGCACCTTAACTCCAGCTCTTGGGAGGCAGAGACAAGTGGATCTCTGTGAGGCCAGCCTGGTCTACATAGTGAGACCCTATCTCAAAAAGGAAAAGAATTGGGGGGTCCACTCTAGACTATAATCTCCCCATTGGTGGGAAGGAATCTGAGATCCTGAAGTGCACTGCAGTACTGGATGGGCCCGCCTGGTTGGCCCTTGTGCTCCTGCGCCGTGCTGTTGGCGCTGAGGCCCCATGTGGACGTGCGGACTTGTCCTCTGTGACCTGAAACTGCCAGAGCCGATGCCTCTCTGTCCCCAAGCCTGGAAACAGCCAAGCACCCCAGCTTCAGCTCTGAGAGGGACCCGTGGGTCTGGGGATTGGGGAGAGCATTCTCTGCTTTGGGGCCCACACAGCTTTTTCTTTACTGCCAGCCACTTGCTTTGCAAGTGGGGAAAGCAAGACCCCAGGAAAGGCAGTTGTTGGCTGGGAGCAAGGCAGGTCCAAGGGTCACAGTCTATCCCTCCACCTTCAGAGGAGCCCAAGGTGGGCATCAAGACCATCAAGGTGTACTGCCAGCGGATGCAGGAGGAAAACATCACTCGGGCCCTCATCGTGGTCCAGCAGGGCATGACTCCCTCAGCCAAGCAGTCTCTGGTGGACATGGCCCCCAAGTATGTGCTCGAGCAGTTCCTGCAGCAGGAACTACTGATCAACATTACAGAGCATGAGGTGTGTGTATGTATGTGTGAACGTCCCTGGGGCAGCCTGGGCTACATGGGTGGGGTGGAGCCCAGCACTATCCAGGCTTTGCTACCCAGTGTGCTCAGGGTGGGCTCTGTCACCCAGGGGGTGGTATCACAGCCCCCTGTGCCCAGTTTGCCCATCCTGGGACCCCACTGTGTCCCGCCCCTGTGCTGTAGCCCTAATAGCTGGTGGTTACCCTCTGTCCCCACAGCTGGTCCCTGAGCATGTGGTCATGACCAAGGAAGAAGTGACCGAGCTGCTGGCACGATAGTATCCTTCAAGCCTGTTGGGCCGGCCCCCTCGGGTCCCTCTGAGTCCCCCTCCAAACTACCCCCAAGCCCTTGTCCTTGACTGTGGTCCAGTAAGCTCCGAGAGAGCCAGCTGCCCAGGATCCAGGCCGGGGACCCTGTGGCACGATACTTTGGAATCAAGCGAGGGCAGGTGAGAGGCTGTGGCCACTGGACCCAAATTTCCTAGACATACCCGGTTCTCCTGTACCCTCTCTCCAAAGCAAGGACTGCTGGGGTCACAGAGCAGCGTGACCCTGGTCACTCCAAGCTGCAGCCTGTCCTCTCTCCCACCCACAGGTGGTGAAGATCATCCGGCCCAGCGAGACTGCTGGTCGCTACATCACCTACCGCCTGGTCCAGTAGCTGTGTACAAGTCCACTGATTGCAGGTGAGCCATGGCCCTCCTCATGTGGGCATCTAGGGAGCCCCTGCACTGTCCCCAATGAGCCCCCCACCCCCAACCTCCTGTCACCAGACCCTCTACCTGGCCTTGACTCAGGGCCACACTTCAGAAGCCGGAGCACTGCCGGCCTCCCATTAGAAATACAAACTTTTGGGTCAGTGAGAGTACTCAAAAGGGGTTTGCCATGAAGCTGATGGCTTGAGCTGGATTCCCCAGGACCCACGTGATGGGAGGAGAGAACAGACTTCTGCATGTTTTGGGTTTTTTTTTTTTTCTTTAAAAAATTGCAGTTTATTTTTTTCAATTTCTTAGAACTAGTTAAGTTTTAATTAGTCTTATGGAAATGCCCCAGCCATTCTCAGGGACCTCAAGAACTATCGGTGTCTTTAAGGCTTGTAACATGGCCTTACTATTGCCAGCTTTTCTAGCTCTCTGTAGATACACATTCAGATAAGCAGATCAGTACACACACACACACACACACACACACACACACGTTTCCAGGAGTGGTGATGCACACCTGTCATCCGAGCACTTGGGAGAGTGAGGCAAGATTGCTGCAAGTTCTAGGATTGTTTGGACTGTGTGGCAAGAACCAAGCCAGCCAGGGCTGTGGTGTTAGACCTTGTCTCAAAAACAAAATGAAAAGGAACTCTACCCTGACGGCATGGGAGAAGCCCAGACAAACAAGGAGTGGAGGGAGGGTTGATAGCTGTCCTGAAATCCTTTCCCTACCCTGACTGCTCCAGTTCAACCTGGCTCACAGATGCTTTCCTCTTCCCCTGCCCTCCATGGTCAGATGGATAGAAGGACACCACCTCCCTGAAGACCAGCCTCTGGCTGCTGCTCTACACATCCCAGTCTGGGTTGAGGGATCCACCGACCTGGCCAGTGCATAAGGGGACATGGCCCTAGACAGGGAAGCCAGCAAGGCCTCAAGGATGACTAAAACCTCTGACCCTTTGGCTTTGAGGAGTGGCCAGCTCCTCCCTGTGCAGCCTCTGGGGGTTGGCCATATCCCAAGTCATCTATCCCTCCCACTTTGATGTTGAAACTCCCATTTAGATTTCTCCCTGTCATAAGCTAATTTTAAGAATTAAAGATATTTTGAATACATAGATTAACTTGAAAAGCTGTGATTGAATGATGAGTTTTGTAGTGGCATCCCACATGGTGGACTGCATACAATTGAGATGTTCTGGTGAGTCCCTGAGGTCCTCAGGCTTGGGGTGAATGCCATGTGCCTCCCACAGCACCTCCATCAGCCACCTGCCCTTATCTGATGGCCAGAGCTGTCTATGTCTGGTCTGTCTGCTCCCAGCTGTTGTATAAAACACCAGGGACCTGCCTGCTTCCCCCTCCTGTTCATGGCTGCGTGATACTCCACTGTGTGATACGGGGCTGTCCCACATTTGGGGGAAGAGACAGTTTTTCAAAATGCCTTGACAGATACCAGGAGTAGAATTCCTGTATCATAGAAGTTTATTTTTTTGTTTTTTTGAGACAGTGTCACTTTGTAGACCAGGCTGGCCTGGAACTTAGGGGATCTGCCTGCCTCTGCCTCCCAAGTGTTAGAGTTAAAACCCTTGCTCCACTGTGCCCAGTGGTTTTACAACTTTTTTTTTTTAATATTATTATTATTATTATTATTATTATTATTATTATTTTTGATCTTTTTGAAACAGCGTCTCCCTGTAGCCCCAGCTGGCCTGGAACTCACTATGTAGACCAGGCTGCTGCAAACTCAGAGATCCATCTGGCTACAACTTTTTTTAAATGTGTATGAGTAGCCAGGCGTGGTAGCCCATGCCTTTAATCCCAGCACTCTGGAGGCAGAAGCAGGTGGATCTCCATGAGTTTAAGGCCAGTCTGGTCTACATAGTTCCAGGCTAGCTGGGGTTACAGGGAGACTCTGTCTCAAAAAGCCAAAAAAAAAATGTGTATGAGTGTTTTCTCTACATGTATATAAGTAAATCCATGTCCTGACCTATGAGGGTCAGAAGAGGGTGTTGGATTCTCTTGTAACTAGAATTACATACTTGTTAGCTGCCATATGAGTGCTGGGAACCAAACCCCTGGGTCCTGTACGAGAGCAGCCAGCACTCTTAACCACTGAGCCAGCTCTCCAGCCCCCTTAAAACACTTTTGGTTATATCAGTGTCCCAGTCACCTCAGCCTGTGTCCTATGACAGGTGGGATCTCTGAGACTGGCCTGTGCCACTCTGGGAGGCTGACTCCGGTTCCCTTAAGCTCTGCCATGGGAAACCCTCAGAAGTGTATTTTCACTGACGATTGAGGTTTCTGGGGTTTTCTGTGGTCACTTGGGCAGGACAGGGTTTCTTCCCTTCAGATGCATGCTTTCCAAAAGCATCTGGCCCAAACATTCCAGATACAAGACAAACAGCCCTGTATCCAAGGACCCTAGAGATGGGAAATGAGTGCCAGGGCATCAGAGGGGGACAGTGTCAGTCTGGGGAGGTGGAATATCCCAGAGATTGATGGTGGGGACAGCCTGATTTCTCTCCCTGGACCCCATGGTGATAGGAGAGAGCCAACTCTAAGCATGGCCTGTGCACCTGCACACACACAGTAATAAAATCAAGTAAGTAGGGCCAGATGTGGTGGCACACATCTGGTCTACATAGTGAGTTCCAGGCTAGCTGTGGCTACAAAAAACACCTTACTGGGGCTGGAGAGATGGCTCAACAGTTAAGAACACTGGCTGTTCTTCCAGAAGACCCAGGTTTGAATCCCAGCACCCAGATGGTAGCTAACAAATGTTCGTAACTCCAGTTCCAGGGGATCCGACAGCGTCTTATGACCTCCTCAAGCATTGCATGACACGGGTGCATTTACCTACATGCAGGCAATACACACATATAAAATAAAATAATAAAAAATATGTAAAAATATATTTGAAAAAATAAAATATTAAAAAAAAAAAAAAAAAGAAAACAACACCTTACCACGGCAGTGAGCATGGAGGTCTGCCAGGATTTCCCACATTCTGAGTACCTCAAGCAAGCTGTGCCTGAAACTTGTCCACCCTATGAAGTCTCACATTAGTAAATGGCATGTGAACCAGGTGTTTACCCTGTATGTCATGGGATTCAGAGCAGTGGACACTCGGCTCAGTGGTTGGCATTTGCCTGGCAGCAGGAAGTACCCGGTTTCACAACCAGCTCCACAGAAAGCTCCCAACCACCACTGCAGTGGGTTTTTCCCATGACATTTACAATTTGAGGAATGCTGCAGTATGGACCAGCTCCTCCAGAGCCACTGCCCTGGTTCTGCTGTTTACTCCTGTGCCTTCTAGAGCTGGGTTGGGCTGCAGCTCAGTGGCTCAGGCTTAGTGTGCTTATGCCTCAAGTTCCACCCTCTGCAGGCCAGTTGGTGGTGGGTCCTCTATACCCCTGGGGGAGGAACTGAGCTCTAACACCCTCCCAACTGGGCCTGGCCAGGGGCCAAGGCACCTCTGTTTACCAAGAACAGAGCTACCCCAAAGTGCTGACCAAAGTGCCTGTGTCTGGCCATCTCAGTGTCACCCTGCATCAGAGGTAGTTATCTGTGCTACAGTTTGCTGCAGGCTTTAGTGGCCACTCCTCACTCCACTTTCTACTGAGGAGCTGCACCTGTGGTTAATGTGGCCAGAGAGCCATCCCTGTGAGGATCAAGACAGAACACGAATGGATGTGACCTACCCCAGGCTGGGCTGAAGGTCTATGACAGTATTTGCTGAGCCCCATCCAAGCACTGCAAAGAAGATGGACTTAAAACATAGCCTATAGCCAAGTGTGTTGGTGCGTAATGTCATCCCAGCACTTGGGAGGCTAAACACAAGAGGATTGTCATGAGATTGAGGGCCAGCCTGAACTAGCGTGAGTCCCTGTCTCAACTAAACGAAACAAAACAAAAAATGGCACTGTGACTCAATATGTAGAGTGTGGGTCTTTGTAGTAGAAAAAAACCTACTCTGTCCCAAAGGCCAAAAACATTGAAAGTATTTGGGAGCTCTTATCCCAAAAAGATTTTGGGGTTACCTCCTCAGAGGAGGAAATGTTACAATATCAGTAGCCCCCTGATTATGCTGTGTTATTTTGATGCTTGCTCCTTTTTTTATACAATTTCTTACAAATTGTCACCATTGCTAAAATTTACTACCAATCAGGTCATGGTCAATTATCAGACTTTGGATTCTCCCGAGATAGATGAATTGGCTCTTGAAGCTTGTGATGACACTTCTCCATTATAAAACAAAACAGGGAGATGTTGGGGAACGCTGCTGTTAAGGTCAACTCCTTTTAGCAGGGGCCTCCTGTTCTCAGACTGACTGAACACGAATGGATGTGACCTACCCCAGGCTGGGTAGAGCCTCCAAGCACAGATGCCTGACCTTATTTGGAACATGACCTTGGGCATAGTTACCTGCAATAAAACTGCCCCCAGGTCTTTTCTATATGATAATTAGGCATTGCCCTATAGCCGGATGATAGGATCCCCCTGCCACATGTAAATAAAGCATACTATGAGCACCTATCAGCTGAAGCTTTGGCTGCTGCCTCCACACTATATTTTTCCCTGACCCCCACTGAATAAACAGAGCTGTATCACTGAATCTGCCTCCCAGGAAGGTCTTTTCCTTCATGCTTACTGGCTGTCCTGATCCCGTTCATTGCTTCTGCTCCCTTTGTCCTCGTGGATTGGTGGCCAACGACTCACGAGGGGAGGGAGAGACCCACAGTAGAGTGCTTGCAGTTCAGTGGGCAGAGTGCTTGTAGCTCAGTGGGTAGAGTGCTTGTAGATCAGCTGATAGTGCTTGTAGTATCAGGATCATCCCCAGCACCCCATAAACCAGGCATGGTGTCACACATCTGTCATCCCAGCACTTGGGAGGCTTGAGGCACGAGGATCAGGAGTTCAGGGTCAGCCTTGGCCACATAGCAAGTTTGAGGCCAGCCTGGGCTACATAATACCCTGCCTCAAAAATGGCAAAAAAACAAAAACCACACTGGTACATGTTACTTCCACATTTCATCTGAGTAGCCTTGAGTGACAGGAAACTATAATTCAAGTTACCTTAGCCAGGGTCTGGGGTCCTCACAGCCTTCTCTAGTACAAGCTGTGAGTTTGAGACCAGCCTGGTCTACATAGTGAGTTCCAGGGCTACAGGGAGATGGGGGGGTGTTTGTGGGGGCAGCCGGAGAGATGCTCAATGGTTAAGAGCACTGGCTGCTCTTGCAGAAGACCTGGGTTCAATTCCCAGCACCCATATAGTAACTAAGAACCATCCATAACTCCAGTTCCAGGGCATCTGATGCCCTCTTCTGGCCTCTGCGGGTATTGCATGCATGTGGTACACAGACACACATACACAGACACACACATAAAGACAAATAAAACACAACAAAAAAAGTCCAGGACTAGGGCTTGCTTAGTTAGATTTATTTTAAGCAAAACAGGTGTGTGTAAGCTGGGCGTGGTGGCACACACCTTTAATCCTAGCACTTGGGAGGCAGAGGCAGGCGGATCTTTGTGAGTTCGAGGCCAGCCTGGTCTATATAGTGAGTTCCAGGACAGCTGGGGCTACAGGGAGACCCTGTCTCAAAAGACAAAAAAAAAAAAAGGTGTGTCAAAAATCACATCCACTATGCCCTGTGAGTGCCCACTGTCTATACCCAGCCTTCTACAAGGATCCTGAAGCCAGACCTAGCTGTGTACCCCAAGTTAGGCCTGCACCCCAACTGTATAGTGCCCTGAAAGGTCTCTATCCATCCAGAGAGACATGTATCCCCCATTCTCTCGGGGTGGTTCATAAGGACCAGGCTGCTCTGCCCACACTGGCTACCTGGGAGCCATGTTTAGTTGCAGGGCACAGGGTACACCCCACAGTGCCACCAGCCCCTCAGGCACCAGAAATTTCTACAAGGAGTCAGCCCTCATGACCCTTGCAGATGTGTGGCCTGGGACCTAACAACCAAGTCAGTGGCCCTTAATGGCCCTGAGTGTGGTCACTGATGGACTCATAGTCCCTGCCACCTCTTGGCTCAGACAAACTGTGGCTGCCGCTCTCAATCAGTTCCACCTGCAATCTGTCCACCACGCAGCTGCATGGTGGACAGTGGGGCCTGCACTGTGCTGTTGGACTGGTTGGTGTTGAAGGTGCAGAGCTGCTGGCCTAGGTCCCCATCCTCTCCCAGCTGCTCCTGGCTGCTGCTGCGGCTCTGGGGACCTTCATCCTGGCCAGCCTCAGCCTCTAGGAAACTGAGCCGCTGCAGTGCGCTGGCATCTGACGATAACAGGGGGTCTGACGCCTCCTCCAGCTCTGAGTCCGAGTCATTGGACACCACTCGGTATTCTGTGACAGAGAGATGGGGATACAGGGACAGGGATGGAGTTGAGAGACAGAGATGGAGGGAGAGACAAAAACAAAGATAGAGAAAGAGATAGACACAGACAGAGATGGAGACGGAGACAGAGACAGAGACAGAGATGGAGAGGGAGGCAGAGACAGAGATGGAGAGGGAGACAGAGATGGAGAAAGATGGACACAAGTGGAGGCAGACACAAAGATGGAGACGGAAACAAGAGAGAAAGAGTCCTGTATCAGGGCTTAGCCACCTAGACCTTGACACTGTCCCCCACCCATTTATCCCATTTTCACCCCCTTTCTGTCTAAGCTGTGGCCATATCATCCACAGACACTCATACTTCACTATCCTCCATCCCCTTCCTGAGGTGACCACCACCCACTTGGCTACTTGTTTCCATCACAGTCAAGAACAAGCTAGCTCACAGGAATAACTGTCATTCCACATGGCAGTCTGATACTGGATGCCCCAGTTGCATCCCTCAGCACCCCTCGCCAGCTATCCCACCATCCCCTGTCCCTTTGCACCACTGTTTACCTTGACTTCCATCCTCTGCCTCCTCCTGCAGAGCAAAGGCTGCACCCTCAGCCATGTCAGCACACTGGGGGGATGACCCGTACTGCAGCAGTGAAGAGGGCTGGTGACCAGTTGGTGCCAGCCTGCCCCCAACTTCATTTTCCATCTTGTAAATTTATTATATTATTATTATTATTATTATTATTATTATTATTATTATTATCTCTTTTTGAGACAGGGTCTCCCTGTCGTGGGGCTGGCCTAGAACTTGCTATGTAGACCAGACTGGCCTTGAACTCTTAGAGATCCACCTACCTCCATCTCCTAAGTACTGGGACTTGGGAGTACTTGCACTACTGCACCTGGTGTAAATTATTATTTTTTACATTTATTTATTTATTTGTATGTGTATAGGTCAGAGAACATGTAGGAGTTGGTTCTCTCCTTCCACCATTTGGGTCCTGGGCATCAAACTCAGGTCATTATTCCTTGAAGCAAACCTCTTTACCCCCTGAGCCCTCCCATTGGCCCGCATCTTATAAATAAATAAACAGTGAAAAACAGGGATTGGAGAGCTGGCTCGGTGGTTAAAAGTGCTGGCTGTTCTTGCAGAAGACCCGGGTTTGAATTCCAGCACCCACATGGTGGCTAACAACTGTCCATAATTCCAGTTCCAGGGGATCCAACACCCTCTTCTGTCCTCTGAAGACACTACATAACACAGGTGCACTTACACACATGCAGGCATAACACTCATACACATAAAATAAAAATAAAAAGTTTTAAAACACAATCAAAAAAAGTATCAACTCCCTCTGCTGTGGAGGTCAGGGCTTCTGAAAACAAGCCCAGGTCTTTCAGTGGCACTCTGGAGGCAGGATAGAGACTCTGGACAGAGAGACCAAGCTGGGCTCTGATGCCAACATGGATATGCCACCCAGAGGTTGGGCCCCATGTCACAATCCTCCAGGACTCTTGAGATTCTGCCTAGTTTGGTATGGGCAGAAGAAAGCCCAGGACTCTAAGGAGGTGCCTGTTACCCCAGCACTATAGAGGTGGGCACCCCCACCTGGTTTATGTGGTACTGTGAATGGAACCCAGGGCCTTGTGCATGCTAGGGGAGCACTCTGCCCACTGAGCTACAGCACTCTGTTCACTGAGCTACAAGTACTCTACCCACTGATCTAAAAAGCACTCTACCCACTGAGCTATAAGTACTTTCCCACTGAGATATAAGCACTCTACCCACTGAGATATAAGCACTCTGCCCACTGAGCCACAAGCACTCTACCTGCTGAGCTTCAAGCACTCTGCCTACTGAGCCATAAGCACTCTAACCCTTAAAATCCCAGCCTCAGCTCTCTAAGCATTTTCTGTGTTACCAACCCTTAGCATGAGTGTCTCCCAAACCCACCCCCTTTCTCACCTGGCCCCCAGGAACTTCCTCCAGCTCCTCCTCAAAGATCAGGCCATAGTGGACTATGAGGGTCTCGATGACTCGGGCTTGGTGTGGGTAGTCCACCAGGGAGGAAAGGGATACAGTGGCCTCGGTGGGCCTGGGCCGGAGCAGCGTCGGCCCGAACACGATGCCCAGATTCCCGGGGGTCATCTTGTTGTCTTGCTCTACCTCTATAATCCTGTGGTGGGAGTGGCACGTTTGGATGAGGGGCTCCGGGGATCCCGCAAGCCCTCCACCCCGCTGGGGACCCTCACCTTCGCAGATGTCTCAGTAGGTGCTGCAGGGTGGCCCGGTTCTCAGCCGGCAGGTCTTGCATCAGCTCACGCAGGCGGCCCACCATGGCCAAAGCTGCAGCCTCGCTCTCTGACCCATTCTGCCGACCCCGGGATGCAGCTTTGGCCTCCGCCTCGGCCTTCAGACTGTCCTTGGCCAGTCCCACCAGCTCATGGTACAGGCGGAAGGAGATGAGGGGCTCAGGCAGCTGTGGGGCGACATGTGGGGATAGAAGTCACAAGGCTGGACTCCAGGAGAGAACCCCTGTAGTGGCCACGCCCCTTACTGGTTTTAGCCAAGCCTTCTGATAGGGCCCCACCCACTTCATGCCCATCTTATATTTCCAGAGGTCAGGCCAGTAGCTGGTTAGGGCCTAGGCAGGCCCAACCAACCTAGCCACGCCCATGGCCATAGCCACGCCCACAACCCCTGCCTCAAAATTGCTCCTGTTATGCCCACGCTCACACAGGTATAGCCGCGCCCACAAACCTTATGTATCTAACCTGCCTTTATCATGCTTTGGCCACGCCCACCACCCTACGGCTCCACTTACGTCAGTGTCTGATCTGTACCAGTCCCATCTCAATCCTGTGCCTGCCATGGCCTCAGCTCTAGCCACGCCTGCTAGCAAGTGTGACCCACGTACACCGACATAGCCACGCCCCTTCCAGTCTTTGATCACACCCACCACAATAGAGTCCCACTCACTGCGGTGTCTGACTCTGCCCTTCCCCCAAGGCAGATCTCTTGGTACAAGTCTTGGCCATGCCCACACCCGAGCAGGGGGCTCAGTGCGGCATTAGCCACGCTCTAGAGCCAGCTCTAGCCACGCCCACCAACGAACTCTGACCCGCCATATGGGCACGCCCACTACCTCCACATTTGACACGCCCCATCAATCTTTGGCCCCACCACTCTAGGGGCCCACCCACTGTAGCATCTGCCTTGGCCCCAGGCCATAGCCCCGCCCCCAGCTTCTCCCTGTCCCTGTCCCTTACTAGCCCCGCCCACGTGTCCCGCCCCCCCTGGCCTCACCTGCCGCAGGTATAGCTTCAGGACGTTGCTGATGTCATGTGGTGACGCCTGGGACAGCTCCACCAGCTCCTTGCCATTCTCGAAGGCCTGGCACAACTTCTCCACCCGTGTCTTCACTCCATTGACCCGGTAGATGCCCTGGGAGAGAGTCACCCTCAGCCTGCATCACCAGCTCCTCATCCCCCTTCAGCAAGTGTCCTCCCTCAGTTCCCCATCCCCCAACTCTGCGCCACCAACTCTCCGTCCTCCCTCAGCTTGTGTCCTCCTCAGTTTCCCATCCCCACTCCTCAGCTCTCTGTCCCACCACAGGGCTCCCCACCTGTCCCAGGCCTCACCTTGGTGTGCAGTGCCCTGCGCTCGATCTCACAGACACATTTCTTGACTATGAAGGGCACGCCGTCGGGAGCGCCTTGGGCTGCCTGGCTGAAGTCCTGTCCAAACAGCTGCAGGCGGCCCTGCAGCTTCTTGTGGCCGCACTGGATGGCCAAAGTCTCCAGACATTTCTTGTGACATGCCAGGCAGCACTGGGGGATGGTAATAAGTAACCCCTCCCCATCTCTAGCACCTCCCTCAGCCTAGGGCCTTTGCACTGGCTGAGCCCTCTGCCTGGGACACCCTGCCTGACAAACCTGGCAGAGATCCCCCACCCTTTGCATTTTTGTTATTGTTATTTGTTTATTTATTTATTTATTTATTTATTTATTTATTTATTGGTCTTTTTGAGACAGGGTCTCCCTGTAGCCCCAGCTGTCCTGGAACTCACTATATAGAACAGGCTGGCCTTGAACTCACAGAGATCTGCCTGCTTCTGCTGGGATTAAAGGCGTGTGCCACCAGGCCTGGCCCTGTTGTTTTTATTTTTTGAGAAAGGGTTTCAAGTAGCCCAGGCTGGCACCCAACTCACTAAGTAGGCAGGGATAACTCTGAACTTCTGCTCCTCCCGCCTCCACCTCCTAAGTGCTGGGAAGACAGGTGTGTGTCACCATGCCTGGTTTAGGTGGTGCTGGGGATGAACCCAGGGCTTCAAGCATGCTAGGTAATTGCTCTTTCCACTGAGCTACAAGCACTCATCTACTGAAAGTCCACAAACTGAGCTGCAAGTACCCTACCCCCTGAGCCATAAGCACTCTGCCCACTGAGCTATACCCACTCTACCCCTGAGCCCCAGCTTCTACACTGGTTCCCTCCCCTGAGGTCCCCACGCACCTCCTCACACTCTGCGCCCTGGAAATACACATAGCTGTTACATTCTCTGCACTTGGCCGGTGAGCGCAGCTTCCTAAGCCGGTGTGTGCGGGCGGCCTTGGACAGTCCCACATGGCGGAAGGGCCCGCTGGGAACAGCCACCGTTAACCCAGGGTCCATACCATTGAGGTCAGCTGGAGACAGAGGATGAGCCAATGTAACTGAGGCCAATTGGATTAACCTGCTTGAGACTCCCTTGCCATGTCCCAGCACCATCGAGGACCTTCCTTCACCTGACTCAAAAGCGGTGGCCACTGCGTCTGTTTCCTGGTCCACCAGCTCCTCACTGGACGACATGGTCCCACTGGACGAAGTGCGATCAAATTTCTTAAAGTCCCCTGAGCCACACACAGGGCTGTCAGACCCAGGGAGCCAGGCCTGGGACTCCCCACCCCCACCCCACGGTACAGGCCTGCACCAAGTGACTTCTCACCTGAGCTGGCATCCAGGCCGCCCTCGGTGTCTGAGATGGAGATAGGCCAGGACTTATGTACCTGGTGACCCCGTCCACCTAAGGGACAAAAAAACGTGTCTCCAGAGCAAGATACAAAGGCCACAAGGGGACAGCACCCTGTGCACCTGCACATACTCACCCCGTTGCTCCTTGAAGGGCACCCCCTCTGGGGCACCATCTTCGTTGGGAGGACTGCCAGCAGCCTCTGTGCCCCCCGTGTCCCCAACGTTGAAGCTGCTCTTCCGTGCACGCATGATGGGGGACCTGGTGTGGGGATGGACAGTGTGGAGAGAAGGTGTCAGTAAGGTCTGTAAAAGGGTCCCTCAGGCCTGCCACCCTCCGCATCCTGCAAACGTGGACGCACCAGGCGTTGGCGGAGACATGAGGCTCGAAGTCATAGCGCACGTCTGGCTCCTCACCACGCTGCAACTGGCGCACGTGCGATGCGTATTGCTGGCCGGGGTCGTACAGCTTGCTGCTCTCGCACAGCATCTGGAAGTGCACCGGCAGCGGTGCAGTCTGCATGTGCATCAGCTGGTAGTAGGAGATGGTGGCCTGGGGTGCGCAAAAGAGCCAGGTCAGGGCCAGCGAGACCACCCCCACCAGACGCCCCCGAGCGGGACCAAGCCCCGCCCACAGCTGCACACCCAGCCCCATTGGAGCACCCAATCTGCCACTGGCTTCAGCTCAACCAGAAAGGCTCACCTACTGGAAGCCCAGCCTCTTGCTCTACTTCCACGCCAAAGCCGCGCCCCCTATATACTCGAACCCTAGCCCCGCCCCCAATGTAACCGGCTCCTTGTTTCATTCCCACTCTGGTAACACCCCAACTCTAAGCACCGCCTCCAACACGGTCCACCCCTTGTTCTATTCCAAACACCAAAGCCCCGCCCCCTATGTGCTTGAGACCCTAGCCACACCTCCGGACACACCCCTAATGAACCTGCCAGATGTTTCATCCCCACCCCAAAGCCCCAGCTCCTATGTGCTCCAGGCCCTTAGCCCCACCTATGCTCCAAGCTCCACCCCTTTCCTGCTCTGGTCAGTACAAATCACCCCCTTGTGCAGTTCTCATTAATCCACGCCCCTCCTGTTTCTCCCTGCCCATTACCCAGCCCCACCCACCAAACCAGGCCTGCGTTTCCCTCTCACTAGAACAAACCCAATCATTCTACTCTGTCCAAAGTCACAACCCTGTCCCACAAAGCCACGCCTTTTTATGCTCCACCAGACCACGCCCCAAACACTGCCTTTTGCTCACTCCACCCATCGAGCCACGCCCTTGCTATCCTTCCCATGGAACAAACCCACTCGCTGAACTCTGCCTGAAGCCCTACCCTGTCCCACAAAGCCACGCCCCCTCTGCAACCTCATACCACGCCCCTTCCACTGCACTGCCTACACCCGGACCCCTGTACTCTGTCTCACTCTGCATCACTGCAACAGACTCTTAGAAGCTCCCCACCCATTGACCCCCACTGCAATCACCCCTTGTATGCCTCTGCCATTCCAAACTCCGCCCCCTGTCCCACCCGCACGACATCCCTTCCCTTTCACTGATGTCGCAAGCCGCGCCCACACCCGACCCCCTCACACACCGACTTGATGGTCTGGTCGCTCTGTCGGATCACCTCCTGGATCTGCCGCAGCGCTGTCACCTTCGTGTCCTCCAGCTCCTGCTTCTGTGTCTTCGCATCTGCCACGCATGTGCGATAGGTGGCCATGGCCTCCTCGGCCTGAACGGATGGGTGAGGGACAGTGAGGGGCCTGATAGAGAAAGCCCAGGACAGAGGAGCCTGGCTGCACCATGGTCATCCAGGTGCCTAGGGAGACTGAGGCAGGGTTCGGGAGGACAGCCTGGGGGATTTAGGAGAAAGTAGGAAGAGGGCTGGGGCGTGGCTCAAAGGTAGAGTGACAACCTAGAGTCCCCAGTGAGGGGCTGGGGCCATGGCCTAGAGCCAGAGTTCCTGTTTGGCGTGTGCAAAGGCCCTGTCCCATCCTCACTAAAGCAAAAAATTAATGTAACTGCAGGAGGGAGCAGGTGCAAGGGTCTAGGGTGGAATCTGCAGGCATCCTCCCCTGCCTCCTGTCCTCCCGAGGCCTCTGCTCCTGCTGTTCACCCACCTTGTTCTTGGTCTCCTCCTCCAGCCTCCGCCTCTTGTCCAGCGTCTTGGAAGCGGCCCCTCCAGCCCCTGGCCCAGCGCTCTGCTGCTCTTCCTCCGCCTTGGCCACCTGGTACCTTGCCTTGTTAAGGTCCTCACAGCGTTGCACATAGCCCTGCTTGGCCTTGCGCAGGTTGGCCTCTGCCTCTTGCTATGAGCAGAGCAAAACGAGGGTCCAGCCTGGTTCTCCAGCCTAGCTCCCTGTCACCAGCCAGTAACCCACAGTCCTCCCTGGTCCAGGGAAGACCCTGCCTAGTGACTCTAGGGGCATGTGCAGAGGGAATGGGTGCCCATGTCACAGCCAGGGAAACTGAGGCAGGCACAGCTCAGTTCTGAACAGAAACACAAGTTGAGAGGCTGGAGAGATGGTTCAGCAGTTAAGAGCACTCTGCTCTGGCAGAGGACCTGGGTTTGGTTCCCAGCACCCACATGGAGGCTAACAACCATCTGTAACTCCAGTTCCAGGGGATCCAACGCCCTCTTCGGCCTCCCTGGGCATTGCACACACTTGGTCCACATATATATGTAGGCACATACTCATACACATAAAATGAAAATTAATTAAAAAAAAAAACAGGCTGTGTGATCTCCCCATCCCCCAGGCATCTTGTGGCTATGAGAATTTCACTTCCTTTTTACAGATGAAAACAGAGAGCCGCCCAGGCAGGAAGTAGAGCACCCTGGGGTGGCAGGAAGCACTGAGTCATAAATTAACAAGTCTGGAGAGCCCACACCTCACAGTCTGAAAGACAAATACCTAATCATGAAGACCAGGACTGGGGTCGAGCTCAGAGAGAGAACTCATGCTTGCACCAAAAGAAAAAAAATACAACCTCAAAAAAGTAAAAAAGAAGGGGCACTATGAGATGGCTCAGTGGGTAAAGGAGTTTGCTGTCAAGTCTAACGACCTGAGTTGGATGCCCAGGACTCAATTATAGAAGGAGAGAACGAACTCCTACAAGTTGTCTTCTGACCTCCACCTGCTGCCGCAGCATGCGCAATACCCCATCAAAAATAAATAAATAAATAAACAAACAAATAAATAAATAAATAAATAAATGTAGTTACCAGCAGATACCTTTAAACAAAAAAGTGAATGGGGAGCCAGGTGTGGTGGCACACACCTTCAATCCCAGCACTTGGGAGGCAGAGGCAGGCGGATCTCTGTGAGTTCAAGGCCAGCCTGGTCTACATAGTGAGTTCCAGGACAGTTGGGGCTACAGGGAGACCCTGTCTCAAAAAGACAAAAAAACCCCAAAAAAACATGAATGGGGGTTGGGATTTAGCTCAGTGGTACAGCGCTTGCCTAGCAAGCGCAAGGCCCTGGGTTTGATCCTCAGCTCCGGAAAGAAAAAAAAAAAAAGTGAATGATAAAGTAGGGATGTGAGACCCAACACCCCTGCTGTCTGAAGTTTGTATTATGTAAAGAATTCTTGGAAATCAATAACAGTCTCCTATCTAGTCCACTGTGAGCAAAGGATAGAGAAAGTTCATAGAGGCTGAGAAATGGAACCTCAGCCACTGTCTACTTTTCTTTTTTTTGTCTTTTTGAGACAGGATCTCCCTGTAGTCATAGCTGGCCTGGAGTTGCTATGGAATCTAGGCTGGCCTCAATCTCAGAGTGCTGGTATTAAAACCTATTCTTTTTTAAAAAAAATATTTTATTTACTATTTTTATTTTATGTGTATGCATGTATTGCCTGCATGAAGGTAAGTGAACCCGTATCGTGCAATGCCCATGGAGGACAGAAGAAGCCATAGGTGGGATTCAAACCCGGGTCTTCTGCAAGAACAGTCAGTGTTCTTAACTGCTGAGCCATCTCTCCAGCCCCAAAGGCTATTCTTTTTTTAAGATTTATTTATTTTTATTTATTTTTCCAACTTGTTTTTAGAGACAGAGTCTCCCACTGGACCTGGAGCTCGGCAATTCAGCTATCCTGTGAGCCCCAGAGGTCATCCTGTCTCCACCTCCCAGTGCTGGTATTTCAGGGGGCACCATTACAGGATTCAAACTCAGCTCCTTGTACTTCACTGCAAACATTTTACACACAGAACCATCACCTACCTACCTACATAACTTTAAATTACCCAGTAAAAGAGAAAAAAAAAAAAGCAACCTTAAAAAAAAAAAAAAAAAAAGAGCTGGGCGTGGTGATGCATGCCTTTAGTCCCAGCACTTGGGAGGCAAAGGCATATGATCTCTATGAGTTCCAGGCCAGCCTGGTCTACATAGCAAGTTCCAGGCCAGCTGGAGCTGCAGGGAGACCCTGTCTCAAAAAGACCAAAACAAAAACAAAAGCAAACAAACAAAAAAAACCAAAGAAAGGGAGGTGGTCCTGGGAGAGTGGAGAGTGCTCAGTGGGTAAAGGAGCTTACTGCCAAGCCTGATGACCTGAGTTCAATCCCCTTGACCCACATGGTGGAAGGAGAAAACTGACTCCCTCAAGTTGTCCTCTGACCTCCACTTTGTGCCATGGTTAGAAAGGAAGGCTGGAAGTCACCCATGTGCAGAATGTGGAGTCTGCACCAGAGCCTCAGTTTCCCTCCCAGAACGTCTGGCAGACCTCACTGGGACCTCGGAGTCCTCCGAGCTGCACATCTCTGAGCAGGGCAGACCCATGCCTCCATGGGCCCCTACCAGTTTCCTCTGGGCACGGTGCCACGATTCCTTGATCTCTTTCCTGCGCCGTTCATGCTCCATCCTTCGCTGGGTCAGCGGCTGCGGGGAGACAGGTCAGTGAGTGGGGACCCAGTGAGTGACATCCCAGCCCAGCCCCAGCCCACTCCGGCACAGCCCACCTGCATGAAGGTCTGTGTTTGCAACGTGCCTGCCGCCTGTACCATGCCATGGCCGAACTCTAAATCTTGTTCCAGAGCCAGAGAATAGATGGACAGGAGGGGCATGTGAGGCTGTGGGGTAAGACAACTGGTCACTTGGGGACCAAAGTGGCTCCCGGCATCCTGAGTGCCACATTCCCCCAGCCACTTAAATTTTATTTTGTATTTTTGTATATATATATATAATGTCTTTTTGAGACAGGGTCTTCTTGTAGCCCCAGCTGTCCTGGAACTCACTATGTAGACCAGGCTGGCCTCCAACTCACAGAAATCCTCCTGCCTCTGCCTCCTGGGTGCTGGGATTAAAGGCGTGCGCCACCACACCCGGCTTAATTTTTTTTTTTTTTACTTTATTTCATGTGTATGAGTGTTTTGCCTGCATATATGTAAGTGCACCACGAGCGAGCAGTGTCCACAGCCAGAAGAGGGCATTGGATTCCCTGGAACTGGAGTTATGGACAGTTATTAGGGGTCATATGGATGCTGGGAATTGAACCCAGGTTTTCTGCCAGAGCAGACAATTCTCTTCACTGCTGAGCTGGCTTTCCAGCCACCACAGTCGCTTTTAGTGCCAGACAAGCAAGAGCCTCAGGGACAGAAGTCCTTGGAGGGAGCAAACACCCATCAAATGTCTCTGTAGACAGCCCCTCAACCTGCTCAGTACAGCCCACCTCGTGTGTGACGCTCTGTCTGCAGTTATGAACCACTTTCTGCAACCCTTTGGCGAATTCCATTTCTAAAACAGAGTGTGAGGTGCAAAGTGAGTCTCGAGGCACCCAGAACAATCCCCGCCAACCTCACCATGCGCAGTCGCCTCCCCATCTCTCACCCAGTGTGGTCCGCTTCTCCAGGTAGCTGATGAGGTCCTTCATGTATTTAGACATGTTCTTGGCGTACTGCAGCGCGGCGTCCACGCCCCCCTCGCAGCGTTGAAGAAGCATGTCCACCTCTTCCGGGGGCAGACAGTCTGGGGGATGGCTGCTCAGCCTCCATCCCAGGCCACCCCCACCATCACCTCCCCAGCCCGGACTCCCTTAGACACTCACCTTCCTCACACTCTTCCACGCTGGGCGGGGGGCCCTCACTCCCGGGTCCATACAGGTTCTCCATAGACTGTGTGAAGAAGGAACTCCCGTTGCAAGTGGGCACCAAAATGTGACCACCACCCCTCTTTGCTCTAACACCTGTAGCTCCCCATGGCCCAGGAGGTAAAAACCAAGCACAGTCCTTTATTTTATGTGCACCAGTGTTTTGCCTGCGTATATGTAAGTGCACCTGGGTCCTGCAGTGGCTGCAGAGGTCAGAAGAAGTCTTCAGATCCTCTGGAACTGGAGTTACAGGTGGTTGCTACCCACCATGGGTTCTGGGAACTGAACTGTGGTCCTTTGCAAGAGCAGCCAATGTTCTAACTGCTGAGCCAGCTCTGCACCCCCCATTTTTTCTTTTTAAAATTTTTATTGCCAGGTATGGTGGCACAGACCTTTAATCCCAGCACTTGGGAGGCAGAGGCAGGTGGATCTTTGTGAGTTCGACGCCAGCCTGGTCTACATAGCGAGTTCCAGGACAGCTTGGGCTACAGGGAGACCCTGTCTCAAAAAGACCAAAAAAAAATATTTATGAATGTATGTATGTATGTATGTATGTATGTATGTATGTATGTATTGAGTCAGGGTCTCCCTGTAGCCCCAGCTGCCTGGAACTTGCTATGTAGACCAACCAGGCTGGCCTCAGTTTCATAAGGATCCACCTACCTCTGCCTCATGAGTACTGGGATTAAAGCGTGTGTCACCATGCCCAGCCTACAGAGCTCTTTTGTCCAGAGCTCTCAGGAGGTTGACACAACTGAGACCAGGGGACTTCCAAGCCTGGGGAAGAGGGTCGCCTCCACACACTCATGGACCTGGAGCACTGCCTGTTCTACATCAGCTCACCTGGCTGGGGTCCCCGGGAGGCACGGCTAGTAAGGTGCTGCTGTCCACCTCACCCAAGAGGAATTCTGACACCCTGCAAGGCCAGATAAGGGGTCAGTTTGGATGTTCACCACTCCCTCCCCTATCCCTACTCCCCCTGCACAGTGTCACATGCTTACGTGCAGCTGAATGATACAGCAATGGTCTCCAGCGCCTTCTCGAACTCCCTCTTGTCAGACTGATTGTTGCACTCATAGTGAAAGGCTGGGGCAACAGAGAGGTAGATCAAATTCCTACACAGCCTGCAAAACCCCACTTCAAATGCCCCCTCCTCCCACCCCTGCACCTTGCTCAGCTGACCTTTGACCTTGGCAATGAGGGTGCCTGCAGCCGTGAGGGTCTCCACAGTGTTCAGCAGCGGGTACTTGGAGATGACCTGGCGCATGACCCGCAGGGCCTCACCCAGGCACTCGTGGGCCAGTGGCCGGCGGGCCTCCAGGAGCTCTGTTGGGCAAACAGCATGTAAGCGGGAAGGGAGGGGTTGATAGAGGTCTGCCCAGCTCCTCAGGGCTCAATGGGGAAACTGAGGCTGGAGCAGAGGTGGGAGAGAGGGAGCACTTCAGCAACTATTAACCTCACTGTCTTGGAGTTATCAGGAACCAGGTACTATCAATATCACTAGATAGAGAGGTATAGAGAGGGGCAGGACATTTCTTTCTTTCTTTTTTTGAGACAGGATCTCCCTGTAGCCCCAGCTGACCTGGAACTTGCTATGTAGACCAGGCTGGCCTCAAACTCACAGAGATCTGCCTGCCTCTGCCTCCCAAGTGCTGGGATTAAAGGTGTGCGCCACCACACCCAGCTATTTATTATTTTTATTTTATATGTATTCATGTATTGCCTGCGTGTAGGTAAGAGCACCTGTGTTGTGCAATGCCCTCAGAGGACAGAAGAGGCTGTCGGATCCCCTGAAACTGGAGTTAGGGACAGTTGTTAGCCGCCACGTGGGTGCTGGGATTAGAATCCCGGTCTTCTGCAAGAACAGTCAGTGTTCTTAACTGCTGAGCCATCTCTCCAGCCCCTGAAAGACATTTCTTAATGGTCACACAGTTCTATTCCTCCAGAACAATAGGGAGCTGCAGTTAGATCCATATGTTGGAACATGACTTAATTAATTTTGTATTTAAAAAAATTTTTTTTTCGGGGCTGGAGAGATGGCTCAGCGGTTAAGAACACTGGTTATTGGGGCTGGAGATGGCTCAGCGGTTAAAAGCACTGACTGCTCTTGCAGAGGACCCAGGTTCAATTCCCAGCACCCACATGGAAGCTACAAACCATTCTTAACTCCAGTTCCAGGGGAATCCGAAGCCCTCTTCTGACCTCCGCTGCATTTCACCAACACTGGTGCACTCACATACATGCAGGCAATACACTCATACGCATAAAATAAAAATAATAAATAAAAATATTTTAAAAAGCCAGGCGTGATGGCGCACGCCTGTAGTCCCAGCACTTGGGAGGCAGAGGCTAAGTGACCCTGGTGACCAGTCTAGCCCTGCTTCAAAAAGACAAAAAATAAATAAATAAATAAATAAATAAATAAATAAATAAATAAATAAATAAATAACAGTTGTTCTTGCAGAAGACCTAGTTTCGAATCTCAGAACCCACATGCCTGCATGTAGGCCTACATGTAGGTAAGTGCACCCATGTCATGCAATGCCCACATAGGTCAGAAGAGGATGTTGGATTCCCTGGAACTGGAGTTTTGGACAATAGTTAGCCTCCATGTGGGTACTGGGATTTGAACCTAGGTCCTCTAATCCCTGTGCTCTTAATCCCTGGGCCATCTCTCCAGTCCCTAATTTTTTTTTTTTTTTTTTTTTTTTTTGTCTTAAAAGGCAGGCTCTCCCTCTAACCCCAGCTGGCCTTGAACTCACAGAGATCTGCCTGCCTCTGCCTCCCAAATGCTGGGATTAAAGGTGTGCACCACCATGCCCAGCTCCTAATTTTGTACTTTTAGGCAGGGTCTCCCTGTAGTTCCAGCTGACCTCTGGAACTCTGGATACGATACACAGACCAGGCAGGCTTGGGTTTCACAGAGATCTGCCTGCCTCTGCCTCCCAAGTGCTGGGGTTAAATTCATTCATGCATCACCTGGTTGGGGTTTTGTTTGTTTCTTTGTTCATTTGTTTAAATTTTTTTTTTTTTTTTGGTCTTTTTGAGACAGGGTCTCCCTGTAGCCCCAGCTGTCCTGGAACTCACTATGTAGACCAGGATGGCCTTCAACTCACAGAGATCCACCTGCCTCTGCCTCCTGAGTGCTGGGATTAAAGGCTTGCACTACCACGCCCGGCTTATTTTAAATATTTTATTTATTATTTTCATTTTATGCGTATGAGTGTACTGCCTGCATGTATGTGAGTGCACCTATGTTGTGCAATGCCGCGGAGGTCAGAAGGGGGCTTCGGATTCCCCTGGAACTGGAGTTAAGGAAGGTTTGTAGCTGCCATGTGGGTGCTGGGAATCGAACCCGGGTCCTCTGCAAGAGCAGTCAGTGCTCTTAACCGCTGAGCCATCTCTCCAGCCCTGTTTGTTTGTTTTTAAATGGGGTGTGCAGGCAGAACACTGCCAACCAAACACCAAGGAGCTCATGCAAGATTCACCAGGTATTGTGAGGAATGGAGGACTTTCCCAAACCAAAATGCATTCTGAAAAGTATCCCCTGCCTCTCTGTGCTGTGACCTGGTGAAATGCCACCCGAACTGCCTTCATATTTTTTTCTGTCCCAACCTGAGCCTATCTCCAGGGGTTGGACTATTGGCTCCAGGCAGCTGTGCCCCTGGCCTGGACATTCCATGGAGCTCAGGGCCAGAGCCTCCCTGGTCCCCGAATCTCCTCAGAGATCTTCGAAGCTCAGAGATGCTCTGGATGCTGTCAAGGAGAGCAGAGTTCCCACTGAACCGTCATGGGCCATACAAAGGCCCTGAGAGCAGCACATGTAAGGTTCTTTGCTTGTGGGGGACCTGCACCCCACACTGGCTCCTCTTCGCCTCAGGGCCCCATCCTGCAGTGCCCAGGGCATTAGTGCAGCAACCCACAGGTACATATGGCAGGTAGGGTCAGCAGCCCACTGTGAGACCAAGAGACCTGATTGCTGGGTAGGGGGTGGTCTCAGTGACTGGCCAGCAGCCAAACCAGTTCAGGCCAGTTCTCAGGCCCTACCTCTGGTTGAGAACAATCCCATCCTTGAATCCCTGTTGTCCTAGCCAGGGGCTGTCCTACTATTCTTAGAGGACCAATCTGTGACCAGATTACAGACTGGGGGTGGGGATGGGGTACTGAGGCCCAGAGTTGGAGGTCCAAGGTGGGAGGAGGCTCAGGAGAAAGGACTTGTAGGACCCATATCCACCCCCAACTGTGCCCCCCATGCACTTTTTTTGTTTGTTTGTTTTTGAGACAGGGTCTCTCTGAAGCCCCAGCTGGCTTGGAACTCAATGCTGTAGACCAGGCTGGCTTCGCTCTCACAGAGATCCACCTGCCTCTGCCTCCTGAGTGCTGGGACAAAAGGAATCTGCCACCATACCTGGCTCCCCTTGCACTTTGACTGTCTGAGGACTCTGTTCCTTGCATGTTTTACAAACCTACCTCCTGGGGTCTAACCAGGACAGCAGCTGGGTGTACAGCACAGGGTGTACCCCAAAACAGAAACCAATGTCCTGTGATACCCCAGGTCCTTCCCCAAGTGCAGACAAGGACCTCAAACAGATCATCCGGCCACACCACGCCTAGGCTGGGCCTCCCCTCAACTAGGCTCCAGTTAGGAAGGGCTGTAAGATTATGGTTTCCCCAGGAAGACCAGTGTGGCCTCCACCCCAAGACCAGATAACCATGGGGTCTCCCATGCACCCTCAGAGGCCATCCCATTTCAGTTGGTCCCTGGACCTCAGTCTCCTTATCTACAGAATGGGGTGTTTGGGGAAGAGCCCAGCTGAGCACTTGGCACAGCTCTGGCACTGTGGTTTCAGGGGAGCCAGTGGTGGGTGGGTGGGACTAAGGCCACATGCATGAGGTATGGTGCCTGGCTCACCTCGGTTCGGCTGCCAGAGACAAACAGGAAGGAGGTGAAAATAACCAAAGGAAACAAGGCAGTCAGCAACCCTGTGCAGGAGAAAACGGAACTGATATCTCCCCCAGGCTGCTGACTCCATGTGGCCTGGTCTCTGACACCATCTATGGCTCCCCAATGCCATTGACATGGTTTTCTGGGACCCTTTCAGCTGGGCACTTTGATCCTCACACAACTTGCCTTGCATACAATCAAATGTCACCAAACTCCTACATACCCCTCAAAACCTTACCTGGTGTGTGCATTTCCTACAACTTGTTCTGCATCTCATTTGAGGCTTTCCCACCATCCCCTCGCTGTCATTTGTTTCTTTGTTTGTTTCTCTTTTGTTTTTCAGACTGAGTTTCCCTGTAGCCCCAGCTGGCCTGGAACTCACTATGTAGACCAGGTTGGCTTCAATCTCACAGAGATCTGCCTGCAGTACTAGGGTTATAGGTGTGTGTCACCCCTGGGAAACTCTTTCTTTTTCTGTTGACAACACGTGCCCCTGCCAGTTCTCACCATCGTGCAACACGCAGTCCTTCAGTTTTTCCAAGCCCTCTGCGAAGCGAGCCACATCAGCCAGCAGGGCCGAGATGTCCTCCACACCATCGGGGAAAAGTCCCTCATTGGTCTGCTCTGCGGGGCTGGCTGCTGTCAGGGGACTTCGGTAGCCCCGGCCTAGGGTCCAGGTGGCAGCACCCGAGAGTGGGAAGCCAGCCGCGCTGGCATGGCGGCTCAGACTGGTGGGCCTTTTGAGGGTGCCTGTGGCCTTGGTGCCTGTGGCCAGGGACGTGGCTGGTGGCTCGAGGCTTGCTCCCAAGAACGTGGCTTCTGTCCCTTCTTTTTTGGGCAGCTCCTGGGAAGGTGAGGGGGACACAGGTGGCTGAGAGATCCTTCATCCTGATACTGTCTCAGTTGTCCCATAAATGAATTGACTCCATGGGGGGGGTCAGAGGCCAGAGGTCAGGGGGCAGAGATTTGGGACTCCCCCTGCCCCCCCCCGACCTGTTACCCAACGTCCTCTTCTCTCCTAGTTTTCACAAACAACGGTCCCTACCCAAACCACAGCCAGGGGTGGGGCCTGTGGAGGCTCGGGAGGGAGGGGGCGCCCCACTTCCTGGTGGGGGAGGAGAGGACACACGAGGGTCCCCAGTCTGCTAACCACCCCTAGACACCTGCATGGGTGGGAACCTTCCAGGAAATGTACCTTAGATAATTCCTGTGGCCAGAGGGATCAGGCAAGACCCCCTAAGACCCATGGACATCCTCATGCCTGGTAGAGACACCCCAAAACTTCACAGACACCCCTAAGCTCAGCAGATATCCCCAAGCTCTGGAAAAACTCAATGACTCCCTGAATCTGTCCTGCACATTTGTGCCCAGTTCCGTAACCATTTCTCCAACAGCTCTGGGAAGCCCCAAATGGCCTGAACCCCCCAATTGCCTGAAATCTGTCTCACAGAGCCTTGAATCTTCCACCAGACCCCAGCACGGTCTCTACCCACTCCCAGTAACAACTGGTCCTTGGCATATGACAAGCAGACATGGCAATCATTCCTTATAAGGGATGTGTCGCCTATCCCAAGGACGCCCCTACCGTGAGGCGGACCCCCAATTCCTGGCCTGTCTGTCCCCTGCTGTCCTGCCCGCTGGGGGCTGTAGCTGGCTCGGGTCCCCCCGGCCACTGAGGGCCCAGCATGGTGCTGGGGTCGCTTGAGCCCTGTGCCTGGCGCTGGCCACACGGTGTCACCCCAGTTCCCCACCCGCTCTGTGCCCCACTCACCCCTGAGGAGGGCTGCGGGCTGGGGCTTCCTGCCCGGTTCTTTTTGGAGATAGAAGGGGTTTTCATCAACTCTCGTTTTTTCCTAGAGAACATGGTGGCTCCAGCCTAGATCACCCTTGGTGGGGACAGGTAGACCTGGGGGCCTTCTCAGGGCTGCTACTCCAGGCCCTGGCTGTCTGTGGACCACACTGCCCAGGGCCACCCCCCCCAGCTGTCAGGCCCACGTGATGGCTCTAGCCCTCATTGGCGCGCTGAGTCGTAACACAGGAAAAGGCCCCCAGTGGAGGGAGGGGGGTGGCACCGCAGACCCGCCCCCAAGTGTGATAGTCCCTAGGGTGTGGGACTAGGTTCTGCACACAGCCCTCTCAGGCCCCCACCTCAGGTCACTTTCCTGGGAATGTGCATTGTCTAGCCTGGAGCTACTGCAGCTTCGCTGGGACACACTCAGAAAGGGCACAGACGCACTTGAATGGTGACACACAAGAGACAGGAAAGATGTGGGGGATTCCAGGTTCACCCTCCCTGACTTCCTTCCCCACCTGCAGGTGACCTCTCTCTCTCTCTCTCTCTCTCTCTCTCTCTCTCTCTCTTTCCCTTAACTCTCTGGACGCCCCCTCCCACTGACCTCAGCCACACTGGGTGGCTCTGCTAGACACAGTCTGGGAAGAGCACAGCCTGTGGTGCCCAGCCTGGCTCTCCAAACTCTGATCCAACCAGAAGCCCAGCCCAGCAGTCCCTTGAGGGCCCTGTGCCTCTCATTCATAGTCACTAGGCTGTGGGGGGCTCTTGGGATGTGGGCTGGCCTGCTCTGAGGTGGGCTCCAAGGTCCTCTAGGTCCTCTAAGCCACCTGGAACATTCCCCAGGCCTGACCTCACCTCCACTTCAGTCAGGGGCACTCATAAGTCCTGCCTTTGGGTGCAGGAAGAGGCCTGGGACAGCTGATAGGTGACCAGGCTCTTGGGAGCCCCCATGTGGCACTTACTGGGTTCACCACAGGGGTACCACCCATGGTCAGGATGATAGTACCTGGTACCACACTTCTATGATCTCAGACTCACACACATGCTCTGCATGCAAAAGTCAGCCCACATAGGCCAGAGAGTTGGCTTAGCAGTTAAGAGCACTGACTACTCTTACAGAGGACCTGGGTTTGGTTCCCAGCACCCACATGGTGGCTAACAGCTGTCTGTAACTCTAGTTCCAGGGGATCAGACACCCTCTTCTGGCCTCCTCACGTATTGCATGACGTGGAACACTTAAATTCATGCAGGCAAAACACTCATACACATAAAATATAAACAAATAGGGGCTGGAGAGATGGCTGAGTGGTTAAAAGCACTGGCTGTTCTTGCAGAAGACCCAGGTTCAAATCCCAGCACCCATATGGCAGCTAGCAACCATCGGTAACTCCAGTTCCAGGGATCCGATGCTCTCTTCTGGTCTCTGTTCACGACACAGGTGCACTTACACATATTCAGGCAATACATGCAAACACACAAAATAAAAAAATTAAGTAAATAAAAATTTTTAAATTAAATTAAATCTTTTTTAAAAATTCTGCTGAGATTTCATACGGTCACCACCCTCCGGGTATAAACAAAGTTGCACCATCTCTCTCTCCATCCTCTTTATTTCCAGAGATGCCAGTGCTGGGGGAGCCATGTATGTCGTGGGGATTCTTGGCCTGACCTCTCCGGTCAGCACAGGGAGGGAACAGTCATAGCATGGTTTCCATGGAACTGGGGTCCTCCAGGAAATGACTGACACTTTTGGGGTGCTGCAGGCCTGGTGTGGAAACCTCATGGGCTCCTGTCTGTCTCTTGCTGTCCTCCTCTTCCTCTTTCCCTTGGTCTTTGGAGAAATACAGAAATACCTGGCAGGTGGATAGAGGGGACAGGAAGGGATGTCAGCCCAGACTGGTACCCCCAAAGTCCTTCCCTCCAGGCCCAGTCTTGGTGCTGTGGCCACCTCCTCCAGCGTGGTCTGGCTCACAGAGAAGTCCTCCACACTGTGGTCCTTGCCATGCACAGCCAGCTCGCGGAACACACGTGCCAAGGTGCAGCAACCCCCAGGAGGCAGCTGGAATCGCAGGCGGCCACCGTGCACCTCCCGGAGCTCGGCCCCTGGGAATGTAGCCATCACAAAGCCCATTGCTGGCTCAGGCTGGTCTGGTGGGACCCTGAGGGTCAGCGTGTGGCCAGACCCAAACCTAAAGGAGGGAGGGATCAGGACCAGGACTCAAGACCTCTTCCTCATCACTTCTAGAAGCTCCTAGAAGTTCCCTGCACCCACCCTGCCTGTCTCTCTCCTGTCCTGGACAACTGGACCCTCTCCAGCTCCTCCTTGCCCTGCCCTGCTCAGAAGCCATGTCCACTCATTTCTGTGGCCATGTTTATTCACCTGACCTGGCCCACTTGTGTCCAAGGATGGACACACTCCACCTCCCTGGATTCCATTTAGAAAACTGAAGACCTCTCCTGTGACCACACCCTGACTTTCTAGCTGGACCCCGTGAAGAGTCTACATTTTATCCATGTGGCCTCTCCTCTCCTGATCTAGCCCCACCCATAGGTGCTCTAACCCCACCTACAACCCTATAGTACTCTTATACCTGCTCTGACTCTGTCTACACAATGGAACCCCCACCCATGTGACTCCTCCCCTACTGTACTTAGCTAGACCCCATTACACTAGGCTAACTTCCTTTGTCTGGCTCTGCCCCTAAAAGACACCTCCTGTCTATGTGGCTTGGCCCTTTGCTACCTAGCCCCATCCACACCCACTCTGACCCCACCCACACCCCCATAAGCACCCATTAAATTCTATGTAGTCCCACCCCTACAAATGATTCATTTTCCTATGTGTGTGGCTCTGCCCCTCATGCCCTAGCCCCACCCACACCCCATAACACCCTTACATTATCTCTGATTCCTTCTTAGGAAGGATCAACTCTCTATCCATGCGGCTGGCTTGCAGAATAGCCCCCACCATGAACTGTTAACATTGTCTGGCTCTGCCCCTACACCCCTGTGACCTAGTTCTGCCCACAGACACTCAAAAGCCTTCCACCCCCTCACAACACTCTTACTTTTTTTTTTTTTTTTGGTTTTTTTGAGACAGGGTCTCCCTGCCCCCCAGCTGTCCTGGAACTCACTATGTAGACCAGGCTGGCCTTGAACTCACAGAGATCTGCCTGCCTCTGCCTCCCGAGTGCTGGGATTAAAGGCGTGCACCACCATGCCCGGCTGAGATCATTTTTAAGAAAAATATTTTATTATTTTTATTTTATGTGTATGCGTGTAATGCCTGCATGCATGTAAGTGCACTCGTGTCATGCAATGCCCATGGAGGACAGAGGAGGCCGTGGATCCCCTGGAACTGGAGTTACTGATAGTTGTTAGCTACCACGTGGGTGCTGGGATTCTCAGGTCTTCTGCTAGAACAGTGTTCCTAATTGCTGTTCCATCTCTCCAGTCCCCCCCACCCCCATCATTCTTAATTGTCTTTGGTTTCACCCCTACAAATGACACATTTCCCTCTCCATGTGACTTCGCTCCCATGACAAGCCACACCCACGGACCCTCCTGGCCCCACCCCTACAAGTGACTCAATTCTCTAAGCCTGTGCCTCAGCTCTTCACCTAGCCCTGTTCATGCCCTCTAACCCCGCCCACACTCTAGGATCCCATACAAGCTCCTTCCACTCACTAACTCCTGTCAAACTCGCCTGTGGCCACACCCTCAACTCTCCAGGCTGCTCTTCCACACACCTGATTAGCCCTGCAAACCCTGCCCACAGCCTGGGTGTCCCCTATCAGATCACGTCTCCTGCCACGCCGCACGGAGGGACAACGCATGATCCAGGCCACGCCCCTTGCCCAGGCCCCGCCCGCAGCCCGACCCACCTGTCCATCCCAGGCTCACCTGGCCTTGAGCTGCTGGGCGCTGCCCAGGCAGCGGAACCTGCCGTTCACCATGATGGCCAGGCGCGTGCAAAGCGCTTCGCACTCCTCCATGCTGCAGGGACAGTGTGGTGCGGCCAGGTTGCCTGCCGTCCATCCCCGGCTCCCAGGTATCCTGTGCCACCCCGGAGCCGGGGAACCACCCCCAAGTCAGCACCTCTCCACCCTGCAGAATCCCACACTGCATCTGCCCTCACCTGTGCGACGTGAGCACCACTGAGCGGCCCTCGCGCACTACCGACAGCAGGCGGTTCCACAGGAAGCGGCGGGCGCTGGGGTCCATGCCTGTGGTGGGCTCGTCCTGAAGTGGGGGACAGGCCATGGGACCCAGTGCCAGGCCCAGCCCGGGGCAGGCCCCTCCCCATCCATCCCACGAGACCACGCCCATAAGGGCCACGCCCACCCGGACCCCACCCTGTTCTGGACCAGCTCCCACGCACCAGAAAGACCACGGCGGGGTCTCCCACCAGTGCCACCGCTGTCGCCAGCTTCCGCTTGTTGCCGCCGCTGTAAGTGCCTGCTGTTCGGTCTGCATAGCTCGTAAGGCCCAGGCGCGCCAGACCTGAGCAGGCCGTCTGCAGGGCAGTGGCCAGGGTGGGTGTGGGCCGGGCCAGAGTGGATGTAAAGTGGGGCCAGAGTGGGTGTGGGCAGGGCCAGAGTGAGGGTGGGCAGGTCAGAGAGTGGGTGTAGATGGGGCCAAAATGAGAGTGGATGGGGTCAGAGTGGGTGTGACCAGAGTGTGATCAGAGCCGGAGCGATAGTGGGCGTGGCCACAGGGAAAGTGTGGCAGGGCGTGCCTACCTGTGCCACCTGAGCCTCAGGCACCCCGCACAGGCGGGCAAAGAGCTCCAAGTGCTCCCGGCCGGTCAGTAGGTCGAAAATGGCATCAGACTGAGGACAGTAGCCCATGTGGCGGTGCACTGCCTCTGGCTCCTGGGCTAGGCTATGTGGGGCCAAGAGGCTCAATGAGACTAGGTGCTCATCCCCCACCCACGCAGGACCACAAGAACCCCGTGGCTGTTTGCCGCTTAGTTCACTGGTCAGAGTGCCCAGCGCACAGATGTCCCAGGACATCCATTCATGCACAGAGGGACAGAGGTGTGAGGGACAAGGCAAGTGGGGGGCCCTGTCTGCTCATAGGATGGGGATTTGGGAAGAACTAGAGGTTCAGGGTGCTTGCACCCCCTCAGAAGCCCCTCACCTGTGACTGGCCAGCACTGCTTCACCACCACTGGGCAGCAAGTCCCCTGTCACCATACGAAATGTAGATGTCTTTCCCGCTCCATTGACACCCAGCAGGCCAAAACACTACAAGGAACCCACAAACCCCTTACTGACCAAGGCCTGAGGCTACATCTATGTCTCATGTAGTCCAGGCTAGCTATGAATTCACTAGTAGCCAAGGATGACCTTGAACTCCTGATCCTCCTGCCTCCACCTCCCTAGTGCTGGGGTGACAGGTGTGTATTGCCGCGTCTTGCTCCCAGGTGTGTTTAATAAGCAAGGTGCCTTTAGTTCAGTAGGGAAAAGTGTTTTCTGGCATAGAGTAAGTGCTTAGTAGAGGGGCTTGGAGAAATGGTAGCAAGTGCTGAATAAAGTTTTGCTGGGAATAGGTACTTGATACAGATATGAATACATTAGGAGCCCAATACATGCTGTTAGTGCTTAACAAAAGTTGACCAGCACATAAGTGGTATTCAACAAATCTTTGGTGAGCACAACTAGTGCTCAAAAATGTGAGCATTCAGTAGGTGCTTAATGAGGGCTTATTGGCTCAAATAGGAGCTCATGGTTGAGGTATAGAGGTAGTGACAGCCTAGAGTCCCCCAGTGAGGGGTTGGGTGTGTGGCTCAGGGGTAGAGTGACAGCCTAGAATCCCCAGTGAGGGGTTGGGGCATGGCTTAGGGGTAGAGTGACAGCCTAGAACCCCCAGTGAGGGGCTGGGGCATGGCTTAGGGGTAGATCTTCTGTTTACCATGCCTGAGGCTTTAGGCACCATCCCCAGCATCACAAAAACAAGAGTTCAAAAATTAGCAAACAGGGCCTGGAGAGCTGGTTCAGCAGTTTAGAGCACTGGCTGCTCTTGCAGAGGACCTGGATTGGGTTCCCAGCACCCACATAGTAGCTAACAACTGTCCTTAACCCCAGCAGATCCAAGGCCCTCTTCTGGACTGCATGGGCATTGCATGCACAGGCAAAACACTCATATACATGTTGGGAGTGGTGGCACACACCTTTGATCCCAGCACTCATGAGGCAGAGGCAGGCAACTCTTGGTGAGTTCAAGGCCAGCCTAGTCTACAGAGTACATTCCAGGCCAGCTGGGGCTACAGGAAGACCCTGTCTCAAAAAGATCAAAAATTTTAGAAAAAAGGAAAAACAAAAACAACAACAGCAACAACAACAAAAAACAAAACTCATGCACACAAAAAATAAAAAGTGATGGGTGCACAGTACTTGCTTAATAAAACAGGATCATGGAAGGGGCTTAATAAAGGATGCCAAGCATGCAGAAGGTGTTCAATAAATGATGGTCAACCTACATCCTCTGCCAGCCACAGCACTGGGTTCTCTGCAATGGACTCACCTCCCCAGGGGGGATCCCAAGGCACAGGCGATCCACGGCTGGGGTCCTCTGTCCCCGGTACACCTGCAGGGGAGTGATTACTTGAGAAAGGGCAATGCATGATTCTATTACCTTCCCCCTGCCCGGCCCTCTACCCCATGCCCACCTTCGTCAAATCCTTGAGTACCAGCACATCCCCCTGTGTGGCCCCTCTGGTCACTCGCTCCCGCTCTTGGGCCACGTCCTCATCCTCCTCCCCCAGGGGCGGCAGCAGCTTCAGTCTGGGTCTAATACAGACTCATAAATAGATGCAGGGAAGGACACAGACCACCCACTGACCCTCCCCTGGTTCCCACTGACTGTGGTAGGAGGTGGCTGCAGTGTTGGAGCAGGAGCGTGAAGAGGAGGAACAGGGGCCCCTGGGCTGCCATGGCCAAGAGGTTCTTGCCAGTGATTTCCCAGTGTAGGGGTGACTGAAATTGCTTGTCTCCTGTGTGGGGATGAAAGAAGGGACTCAATCTTAGGGGGTTTGGTATCTGGCACACTCTCCTGATCATCCAAGACTCAAGAAGAGTGACTGATGGGCTGGAGAGCCAGCTCAGTGGTTAAAAGAACTGGCTATTCTTGCAGAAGACCCGGGTTTGGTTCCCAGCACCACATGGCAGCTAACAAGTGTCTGTAACTCAAGTTCTAGGAATCCAATGCCCTCTTCTGGCCTCTGTGGGCATTACATACATGGTGCGATTACATACATGCAGGCAAACATCCACATAGAATAAAAATAAATACATTTTTTAAAAAAGCAATGTGATAGCCGGGCATGGTGGTGCACGACTGTAGTCCCAGCACTCAGGAGGCAGAGGCAGGCAGATCTCTGTGAGTTCAAGACCAGCCTGATCTACATAGTGAGTTCCAGGACAGCTGGGGCTACAGGGAGACCCTGCTTCAAAAAGACAAAAAAAAAAAAAGCAATGTGATATAAGCCAGGCATGGTGGCACACACCTTGGGAGGCAGAGGCAGGCAGATCTCTGTGAGCTCAAGGCCAGCCTGGTCTACATAGTGAGTTCCAGGACAGCTGTCTCAAGAAGACCAAACACACACACACACACACACACACACACACACACACACACGACATTGTATATAATCATTGTATATAATCACCTATTTTCACCTTTAACTTGTCCAAACTTTGGTGCTACCTAAAATTTTCCCCCTAGGGACAATGCATCCCCACTGTGTACTAAGTGAACTCAAAGGTGGCACTTCCAACTGCACCATTCACCACCCACACCCCACACTAGTTCTCACCCAGGCGCTCAAAGGCATCTGCCATGGCCTGGTTGCGCACCATGTCGATAAGGCCTCGGCCCAGGCAGAAGTGGGGGAAGATAAGAAACACCTGCTTCAGGATCCGACTCACTTCTTGCAGGTTCTGTTGAAAGACAGGTAGAGTGGAGTGGGACATGGGCTAACCTACAGCTCCAGCTCTGCTTTTGAGTGGGCATCACACCTGATCTGAAAGGAGCTCCAGGATGAAAGTTGCCATGCTGCTGTTGATACCGATGAACAGGTTGATGCAGGTGAGAACCACATAGGCCGTGCTGGGCACGGAAAAGAAGAAAGAGGCTGGATACATCAGTGGCGTGATGGACCAGCTGGGGGATGACAAGGGTCACTGGGTAACTTTATGCAAGAGGTTGCCCCACTTCTCATCCCTTCTGTGCTGTGAGCCTGGATGTGCTGAGCTTCTATGCCCCATTGGCTCAGTACTGATTCAGATCATGCTTGGGGTCCTCTTCAACCTCAGAGTCTTCTCCAGTTGCTGTGGAATCCTTCCTCACCCCCATCATAGAAGGGTGGTCAGGGAAGACTCTTAACGGATAGGGGTTCTCACCCATACAGCAGCAGCAACAGCAGGAGGGCAGGCAGGTTCTCAGGGGCCACGTATGCCTTCTTCCGGAAAGCCAGGAAGATGAGCACCACAATGCACACGGTCACCAAGTAGTTACACTGTATTGGAGAGGAGTGTCACCCAAGCTGCGGGAAGGGGCAGGACCTCTGCTCCCTGATTGTGGTTTGCTGAGTACCAGCCAACCCCCTGCCAGGAAGGCAACCACACACACCATATCCCAGAAGAAGTTCCCGAGCCAGTAGAGGGTTGGGGGCAGGCCGCTGACCAGCTGCAGGTGCTTGGCCCTTGTCACACGTTCCTCAATGAGGACCAGGGTGAAGCTGGCTGGGACGAAGGACATGGCGAAGACCACACAGATGGAGACCAGGACGTCCACTGAAGATGCCATCCTTGGAGGGGGAGGGGGAGGTTTGGTGGTGGCAGAATGGGGCATGATATAAAGGGACACAAGTCTGCAGGAGTGATGGTTGGAGGGAGAGGCCATGGGCAGTTTGGGGACATGGGTGGGTAAGGTACAGGTCTTTGATAAACATAGGACAAAATCAGGGGTGCCTGACATTGCTGAGCTTGAAGGTATCTTTATTGTTGTTAGGGGTTTTAAAAAATATATTATTTTCATATTTTTTATGTGTATGAGTGTATTGCCTGCATGTGTGTAAGTGTACCCATGTCATGCAGTGCACTCGGAGGTCAGAAAAGGATGTCAGATTCCCTGGAAGTGGATTTAGGCAGGTTAGTCACCATGTGGGTGCTAGGAATCGAACCTGGGTCCTCTGCCAGAGCAGTCAGGACTCTTAACCACTGAGCCAACTCTCCAGCCCCTGCTAGGTTTTTTTGTTTGTTTTGTTTTGTCTTTTTTTTGGTCTTTTTGAGACAGGGTCTCCCTGTAGCCTCAACTGTCCTGGATTCACCATGGAGACCAGGCTGCCCTCGAACTCACAGAGATCCACCTGCCTCTGCCTCCTGAGTGCTGGGATTAAAAGTATGTGCACCAAGCCCAGTTTTAAAGATTTATTGATTAAACCAGGCATAGTGGAACACCCCTTTAATTCCAGCACTCAGGAGGCAGAGGCAGAGGCAGGCAGGTCTCTATGAGATTGAGGCCAGCCTGGTTTACTACAGTGAGTTCCAGATCAGCTGGGGCTACAGAGAGACCCTGTCTCAGAAAAAAAAAAAAAGAAAGAAAGAAAAGAAAACCAATCCAGTCCCCACCACCCCTCAGCAGGACCACTGAGGGCTCCTGGGCCAACTCACAGTGCAGCCTTGGACAGCTGTTCCTTGGTCAGGTTCAATGGATGGTTGAATGTAGTGATACTGTGGGCATGGCGGGCAGGGCCCAGTGGCAGGCGAGCATGTAGCAGTGCGTTGTTGGCTCGGTTGACAAAGGCCACCATGGCATGCCAACCCTTGTTGTTGAACCAGATCTGGGTGGAGTGAGGGTCATGAGATGCACGTGGATCCAGTTCTGGCCATCCACCCTCACCTGCCAGGCCTTGCTCCCACCTTGAGGCTATTCTGGCTGTCCAGTCCAAGCCCCCACTGTGTGAGGTTGCTTAGGACACGATCCAGGGCATCACGGGGTTGGGGGTTCAGCAGTGCCCGAAGTTCTGTCACCGTGTGGGCCACCTCACGCCCTGAGGGAAGGGCAGGGTCTCGGCCCCCCAGGGAGAAACCCCCATACCTGTGAGGTGGGACAAGGTGAGTGAGGGCAGGCCACGGTTGTGGGAAAGGAACAGGCAGGGTCTCCCACCCTAGAATTGAGCAGGGTTTCTCACCCTTGCTGGGAATGGGCAAAGTTTAGGAAAGGGCAGGGTTTCCCACTCTAGGAGCAGACAGAGTCTCCGACACTAGGAACAGGCAGGGTTTCCCACACTAGGAGTGGACAGGGTCTCCCATGCTAGGAACAGGCAGGGTTTCCCACATTAGAATCAATCGGACAGGGTTTCCCACCCACACTAGGTCCCACCTTACCTGACTTCATTCACCCACTTCTTTGTCTTCAGACTGTGGAAGATATGAGTTGTGTGGAGAGGGATGTGCCTGGGGGTTGCAGAGCCCACCCTAACCTCCCCAAACCTGGACACATGGAGAGGGGTGCTCACCCTTTGCGCACCAGGCTCGGGTAGGTCTTGATGAGGAAGTCCGACACGATCCGGCCCGTGAGGTTCTGGATCAGCTCCCCAGAACTGGCCATGGCCTGGGGTGGTGGGGGTCCCCCAGCCCCAGCTGGGCAGTCAGGCAGCAGGCGGCGGGCTCCTGGCTGGCTGCACTGACAGGCTGGGGATGGAAACTCTGCAGTCCAGTTGCCATTGACCAGGATGCTGGCCACATCTGTGGGGACCTCAGGGACCGAAAACTGGCAGACGAGGATGTGTGTGCATTCGGATACTCTGTGAGGTGGGGAAGGGCAGTGGGTGTCAGACAAGGGGGTGCTGGGAGATGCATGCTGCCAGATTCCTGGGAGGCAAAGGGTGCAGACCCACCAGAACCCGTTGGGAAACTGAGGCAGAGCCCAGAGGAGAAGCTAAGGCAGAGCTCAGAGGGGAACCTGAGTCCAGGTGGCCTCACCTGGCAGTGGTGCCCTGTGCACTGGGGTCCTGAAGCCCAGCCTCCACCAGCAGTGCCTCCAGTAGCTGTGTTTGGTCAGGGTCTCCTGGGGCATCTTCACTGTAAGATGAGGGGTCAATGCTGAGCCCCAGGGCCATGTCCTTCCCATCTCTCACACTGTCACCCACCCACTGTGCCTGGCACCCACCTGAAGAAGGAAACCTGAGGGTTGTACATGGTGGGGCTGAGTCGCAGGGCAGGGTACTGGCCGAAAGGAGGGACTATGAGACTGAAGAGCAGGGCCAGGCCCACAAAGAGGGCAGGCAGCGCAATCTAGGCGAGACAGGGTAAGCTGCCAGCTCTGTCCACCTGCCGTGGCTCCCCAGTACCACCCAAACACACAATTAAGTCTTTTTGTTTGTTTAGAGACAAAGTCTTCCTGTAGCCCTGGCTAGCCTAGAACTTGCTATGTAGCCCAGGCTGGCCTCAATCTCTCAGAGATCTGCTTGCCTCTTCCTCCTGAGTGCTGGAATTAAAGGCAGCTTCAGTTTTCAAATGAAGCCACAGAGCAGACAGCCAGCACCCAGCACAGAAAACAGGTGCCCAAAGTCTGTCACCTAGCTCTGGCCCAGCACCTGTGCAAAGAGGCCTCTTTGGCTGCGGAGAGCGAGCAACAATCTCTTATGAAGGAGAGCCTGGAGCTGTTGACAAGTTAGTGTCCAGCCTTGTATAAGGCCTGTGGCATGGGGCACAGAGCCATTCAGGGTCCCAGTGTCCATCATCAGCCCAGCTGTGGGGGGACAGAAAGGTCAGCATTGGCACCATGGGGCCCATATGGCAGTCAGACAAAGTGGGGTTCTCACCCAGCTCCCCATTCTCCATGGCTGATGTCTCTGGCTGTGTCTGGGGCTGCAGGGTAGCTGTGCGGTTGTGAGGGTGCTGCCTAAAGCTGTCACCTGCAGGGCCAACAGGGTGCAGAATTGGGGTCATGGCTCCAGGGAAGCCAAAGTCACAGCCCAAAGGGGGAAACAAACTGAGGCCAGATCCGGAGGGAAAAATTGACATGGGAGCCAGGAAAGAACTCTGTGTTGGGGACAGACCTGGCCAGGGATGGGGAACCCATTTCAGGCCATGTTTGACACTGGACCAGGGCTGGGCTGAAGGGTCATGTGGCCCTGACATACCCTCTGTGTCTGTGTCCACAGAGTACTCTTCTACCACCTTCAGGAAGATCTGCAGAGACAGGGTAGGGGACTCAGAGCCACAGCTGATGTACAGGAGGAAACCTGCCATACATATCTGTCCCCAGGCCTCCACAAGAGACTTTTAAAAAAATATATATTTTATTTATTATTTTTTATTTTATGTGTATGAGTGTATTGCCTGCATATACATAAGCGTACCCATGTCGTGCAATGCCCACGGAGGGCAGAACAGGGTGTCAGATCTCCTGGAACTCAAGTTACAGACAGTTGTTAGCCACCATGTAGGGTGACCATTGGGATACTTTTGAGGATGCAAATGGGAGAGAGGGCTGTGTGCTAATTCTGATTCTGATTGCCTGAGGACAACAGGAATAGACTTAGATGCAAGGTCAACCTACCCTGTATTGCTGGGAATTTAAGTGCAAACTGAATTTATGAAGGCAAACAATATGACAAAGAAAACAACTACAAAAATGTAGTCTTACACACTTTTTATTTTATTTATTATTTTTTATTTTATGTGTATGAGTGTATTGCCTGCATGTATGTGAGTGCACCCATGACGTGCAATGCCACAGAGGTCAGAAGAAGGCTTCGGATTCCCCTGGAACTGGAGTTAAGGAAGGTCTGTAGCTGCCATGTGGGTGCTCTTAACCGCTGAGCCATCTCTCCAGCCCCTACAAAAGACTTTTGAACCAGGGGCTGGGGAGATGACTCAGTGGTTAAGAGCACTAGCTGGTCTTGCAGAGGATCCGAGTTCAGTTCCCAGCATCACATGGCAGCCACAACCATCCCTAACTCCAGTTCCAGGGGATCCAATGCCCTCTTCTGGCCTCTGGGAGCATTTCATGCACATACATATAGGCAAAATGCTCATATACATAAAGTACACATAAATGCATAATTAATTAAAAATAAATTTTTTAATTTAAAAAGAAGAGCTGGAGAGATGGCTCAGTGGTCAAGAACACTGGCTGCTTTTGTAGAGGACCTGGGTTCAAATTCCAGCATCCACATGGTGGCTAACAAACTGTCCCTAACTCCAGTACCAAGGGAATCCGATGCCCTTTTCTGTTCTTCATGGGCATTGCATGACACAGTGCACTTGCATACATGCAGACAATGCACTCATACACATATAATAAAAATAACAAAAAAAAACCTTCAAAAGAGACTTCTGATCCATCCATCCTCCCTAAATGCCTCCTAGTCATCCATAAGTGGACTCCTATTCACCCCTCAAAGCCCCTAGAGACCCCACACCTCTTCCAGGCTGGTGTCTGAAATCCCATAGCCCGTGAGGCCCAGTGCACCCAGCTGTCCATCTAGTGCTTGGAAGAGCGAGGCAAAGCTGCCATCCAGGGCGCCCTTGTAGGGCAGTGCCAGCACCAGCTCAGAGGGCAGATCCTCCACCAGCCGTGCCCCAGGCACCCAGTGCTGCACCAACGCCAGGAGGTGGGGTACACTTGGGGTGATGGTTGAGGAGACATCAGGAGCCCTCGTAGAAACAGAAGCCAGGACTTGGCTGCTCTCTTCTGTAGCTCCTTGTGTGAGGGCGAGCCCTGCAGGCAGAGGTCAGGGTTAAGAACATTTGAGCTTGAAGCTGGAGAGAGGCTCAGCAGTTAAGAACCCTGGCTGCTCTTGCAGAGGACCCAGGTTTGGTTCCATGTACCCAAATGGTGACCTAGAACCAACCATAACTCCACCGCCCTCTTCTGGCCTCCATGGGCATTGCACATGCATGCACTTGCATGAAAGCAAACACTCATACACATACAGTAAAAAGTAAATTAGCTAATTAATTAAAAAAAAAGAACCAGGGGCTGGAGAGATGACTCAGTGGTTAAGAGCACTGGTTGTTCTTGCAGAAGACCTGGATTCGAATCCCAGCACCCACATGGCAGCTAACAACTGTCCTAGCTCCAGTTCCAGGGGATCTGACAGCCTCCTCTGTCCTCCGTGGGCATTGCATGACATTGGTGCACTTACCTACACGCAAGGCAATACACGAGTACACGTAAAAGAAAAAAAATAAAATATTAAGAAAAAGAGCTGGTGGTCCAGGTGTATCGGAAGACAGGGGTTCTGTCTGGTGTCCTGAGCTCTGTTGCTATGAACTGAGTGACTGGTGCACCCCCAATTCCTTCCCTGGAGGTCCCCAAGTCCAGCCTCACCAGCTAGGTTGACCTCAGTGTCTGGCCCCTCTTCCAGTCTTGGGTCCTGGCTCTCCCCCTGCAGAGATGGAGAAGGATACTGGTCCATGGCAGGCAGACGGTGTGGGGACAGGGCTAAGGGGTGAGCTTTTTTGCCTTCACCTTCCAGTCATGGATGTTGAGACCCAGATGTGTCTTCACCAGTGTCAGGTAGTAACTGCAACCCATGTGCCGACGTAGGAAAAGTGGGGACCCACAGCAGCAGAGACGGCCACCTGTCACCATGGCAATACGGTCTCCCAGGAGCTCTGCCTCATCCAGGTGGTGAGTGGAGAGGATGAGTGTGCGACCTGGGCGTGGAAACCTTGGATGAACCCTCAGGGTCCCCAGCTGTGGTATCTCCCAGGAAGTTGTAACCCCATGCAGCAAGCTCCTATGCACGCCTCAAAACTCCATTCCAGGCCTGGAGAGATGCTCAGTGATAAAGAGCACTGGTTGTTCTTACAGAGGACCTGGGTTCGATTTCTAGCACCCACATGGCGACTAACAACAGTCCCTAACTCTAGTTCCAGGGGATCCAACACCCTCTTCTGACCTCCATGGGCATTGCATGACACAGGTGCACTTACATACATGCAAGCAATACACTCACACACACACACACACACACACACACACACACACACATAAATTGGACCAAAATTTTAAAATCCTGGCATTTCATACTTAAAAAGCTTTTTTTAAAAAAAAATCTTTTTGAGACAGGGTCTCCCTATAGCCCCAGCTGGCCTGGAACAATGTAGACCAGGCTGGCCTTGAACTCACAGAGATCCACCTGCCTCTGTCTCCTGAGTGCTGGAATTAAAGGCATGCACCACCATGCCTAGCCTTATAAAGCTTTTTGTATTTTAATTATTTAATGTGTATGAGTATTTGCCTGCATGTAAGGGCACCACATTGTGTGCATTACTCACAAGGGCCAGAAGAGGGTATTGGATCTCCTGGAATTGGAGTTAAGGACAATTGTTAGCTGCCATGTGGGTGCTGGGAATGGAACCTGGGTCCTGTGCATGAGCAGGGAGTATTCCTAACCACTGAGCATCTCTCCAGCCCCTCTAGCTGGAAACCATGCCACCCACCTGGATCAGAACCCAGGGAACTTCTGACCTCTTTCCCATCTCAGACTCCCACCTTCTCTATATTTAAGCAGTAGTTCCCAAATGCCCCTCCGGGAAGCAGGGTCAACACCAGCGGTGGGCTCGTCCAAGATAACCACGCGGGAGCCTCCCACAAACGCAATGACCACAGACAGCTTCCGCTTCATTCCACCTGGATGAGGACAGTGACACTGTGATCCACCCAGTCGTAAGCAGAGTCTGTCCCCGGTGTTCTACTACCCTCCCCTGGTGGATGTAGCTTCCCCTGGCTGGCTCACCAGAGAGGTGATGTGTCAGTGTGTCTCGCTTGGGGATCAGTCCCACGTCCTGCAGCAAACGTTCCTGCTCAGGGCCCACAGCAGCTGCTTGCAAACCCTTCAAACGTCCATAAAACCACAGGTGTTCTTCCACTGTCAACCTGTAGCCAGGGGTGATAAACAGTGGCTCCTGAGAGATTCCAGGTCCCTCCCACCATCACCCTCCCTGCCCACGGGGACATACATATCAAACAGCACGTTGTACTGTGGGCAAATGCCCAGGTGAGGCCGGATGGCCCCCATGTTGGTCTGCACATCGTGGCCCAAGATGGAGGCCGAGCCATGACTGGGTGGGAAGAGACCACTCAGGATGGACCTATAGGTACAAAGATCTCAGAGATGAAACCCTTCACAGAGTGGCTACCAACACTTATAGAGCACTTACTGTATACCCTGGTTAAAGAGGTCTTTGTACCCATTTTATAGTGAAGGGAAACTGAGGCTCAGAGGAACTATATATTCTTCCTGCTACTGTCTGTCCAAGTTGGACCCAGTTCCTGCCTTCACTGTGCACCTGGGAGAACTCCAACTCTAATGGATAACCCCCCAACAGATGGGGAAACTGAGGCCTGGGAGGGCAGAATAGTGGCTAGTGGCTCACAGTGTGGTTGTCTTGCCCGCTCCATTGTGACCCAGGAAGGCTGTGATGTGGCCCTGGTAGAAGTCCAGGCTGAGCCCTCGCACAGCTGGCTGCAGAGAGCCTGGAAAGCGCTTCTCCAGGCCTCGAATGGAGACACCAGGAATCAGGCCAGGTGGTGGATCTTCCACCAGCACTGTGAAGGGACAGTAGGGTTGGTTGTGGGTTTTGAAGTCCGCACAGCTGTTCAGTAGAGTTGGGGGTCCCAATGAGGGAGCTACATGTGGTGGCTCAGGGTGTAATCCTAGCTATACTTGGGAGACTGAGGCAGGAGGGCCATGAGTTTAAGGCCAGACTGGGCAAAGAACTGAGACCTGTCTCAAAATCAAAAGTAACAGAGGGCTGGGGGCGTGGCTCAGGGTAGAGTGACAGCCTAGAATCCCCCAATGAGGGGCTGGGGGCGTGGCTCAGGGGTAAAGTGACAGCCTAGGATTCACAGTGAGGGGCTCAGGACATGGCTCAGGATAGAGTGACAGTCTAATAAGCACAACACCCTGGGAGGGTATCCGATCAGGGCTTCAGGAACTCTTTCTCTGGGGGAAATAGAGGTGAAGTGGGTAGGGAGGATTAGGGGATGGGGTGTTGGGAGTCAAATCATCAGTTACTGACAGACATCGGACCTTACCCTTGGGGTCTTGTCGGTCAGGGGCTAGGGCAGGACCCTTTGGAGGTCCAGGCCCACACCAGTAGCTCCTCTGAAAGGGGAAATTCCATGGTTCAGGGATCCCATATTGGCCTAGGGGAGAACAACATTCAGCATACCCATGAAGTGTGACAAGGTCTGGCCATGCACCTGCAAGCAGGGCATCCAAACAGAAAGGTTCAGAAAATCTCATCCACTACCTTACCTCAGATCCCAGCACCAATGCACATCCTCCAGGAAGCTACCTACCTCTTGGAACTCATTAGCCTGAGCCAGGTCTTACAATACGGTCTCTCCTACCCAGGCACACTCTAGTCGGAAAGTCCCACCCCTTGGCCCAGTTTCCACTGTGCTTTGCAACAGGTGTGTCCCCAGCCCAGAGCCCCTCCTACTTCTACCTACCTGGACATATAGCCTCCAGGTACCAGAGGGCAAGGCCGTAGATTGCAGCATCCAGCAGGAGGAAACCAGACACCTGGGCCAGGCTGAACACATCCTCCGCGGGTCCGGTGCCCAAATTGTGCCACTGAGCACCCTCGCCCTGTTCCTCCAACAGCGCCAGGCTCTCACATCCGAAGCCAAAGGCCACAGGGGACAGCAGGCTCTGGGGATGGGGTGGGCTGCGTCAGGGGGCTTTGCACACCTTGGGGGTGTCTGTTCCCTGGCCAGGTGGGATCTGTTCCTCACCGCGGCTACACGGCCTCCCACGGGCAGCCGTTCGCGCCAGGCCACACACAGGACATAGGGCAGGTAGAGAGAGAAGTAAGCAAGGCCCCCACAGGCTGCAGCCAGGTTTGCCTGGGAGAAGAAGGCGCTGAGGAGGAAACTTTGCGCCACAGTGGCCACGGCAAAGGCCGCCAAGAAGAGGAAGACCACGATGGGGTGGCTGTACGGCAGGATGTCCCCAAGCTGGGAGGAAAAAAAAAAAAAAAAAAAGAGATCAGGATCTCATTCCAGGATTACCCCTGGGGTGGGGAGATGCGCACAGAGGATGTGCGCTGCACCAAAGGTACACCCATTCTCAGCCTGCATCCCTGAGGCCCGCGCACCTTAAGCACTAACACTAGCAGCACCGCGCTGATCAGAAAGGGTCCCAAGCAGCTGAGGAACCAGCCGAGCCAAAACACCCCGCGACTCAGCCCCATGGCCCGCATGGTCTCCCGCAGTCGCGTTTCCTTCTCCCGCACCACGGCCTTCACAGTTAGCGCCACCGAGTAGATCCAAGCCAGGGTTAGGAAGAGAGGCAGAGACCGGCTGAGCACGCGCAGGAACCTGGGGCCGCGGTACAGAGGGGTGCAGATGGAGACCCCAACACCTGTGCATCGTGCACTTATGCATGTGTCACCCTGGGGTTTCAAGGCTCAGCTGCACCCCAAAGTGCTGGGAGGTCTCAGCTCCCAGCACAGGCCATGTTCCCTCTGCATGGGGCGACCCTAAACCTGGAGGACCCCTGCACCCCAAAAAGTGAAAGGTAGGGGTCCCTCTAAACCATAGAGCCCCCGGCAGCCTTGCACATTCTTCAGCCCCAGGACTGGCAGTTGGGGGAGAAGGAACAGGACTGTGGCTCACACGTCGTCCACATAGCAGGGGTGAGGCATCTGCTGCAGGTAGAGGCCTGTGCCAGTGTCGCGGCCACTCAGCACGCGGACAGCGGCCCGCTCCAGCAGGTCTTGCAGGTACACGAAGCCGCCCCACACGTAGCGCAAGTCGGTGAAAGGGTCGGCGGATGGGCCAGGGTCCCAGAACCTAGGATACCATCGGTGCAGCGGTAAGCTGGAGGAAAATGGATAAACTGGGGGCGGGGGGGGGGGTGGCACGACTGTCCATCACAATCAGCTCTGCCCTATCTCTCACAGGTTCAATAAGGGCACTTGGCTTGGCTAGCTCACCCTGCTCTCAGCTAGCACAACTGTTGCACTAGGTTAGCCTCTGGTGTACTAGGCTAGCCCACTGAGGAACTGCCCTGTTGCACTTGGCTAGCTCTCCCCATTGTACTAGGCTAGCCTCCTGTTGCACTGGGCTAGGCTACCATTCCACCTGACTAGCCTCACTGCCTCAGGCTAGCCACACTATTGTACTGGGCTAGACCCCTATTGCACTGGGGTAGTCCACCATTGCAACTGGCTAACCCCAGCGTACTAGGCTAGACCCCACTGCACTTAGCTAGACCCTCCCATTGCACTAGGCTAGCCTCTATTGTGCTTGGCTAGACCCAATTGTACTAGGCTATCCACCACTGCAGAGGGCTAGTACCCTATTACACTGGGCTAGCCCACTGTTGCAACTGGCTAGTCCCACTGCCCTGTTTCACTAGATTAGTCCTCCATTACACTAGGCTAGACCACATTGCTCTTAGTTTGCCCCTCATTGCACTAGACTAGACCTAATTGCATTTGGCTAGCACCCCCATTACACTAGGCTATCCCCACCATTGTGTTTGGCTAGCCCCCTCCCTGTTACATCAGAAAAGCCCATTGTTGCCCTGGGCTAGTCACCATTACACTAGGTTAATTCACTGTTGCACTTGGCTAGCCCCCTTTACAATAGGCTAGTCAGATCATTGCACTTGAATAGTTCCACTGCCTCACTGCCCCCTTGCATTGGGATAGCCCATTACACTAGGCTAGCCCACTGTTGCCTTAGGCTAGCCCTCTTGCACTAGGGTAACTCATTTTGGACTTCGCTAGGCCTCCATTACAATAGGCTAGCTCCACCACTGCATTGGTCTACCACCTGTTGCACTGGGTTAGCCCACTTTTGCACTAGGTTAGCCCACCATTGCACTTGAATAGCCACTGCCCTGCCATACTGGACTAGTCCCCTGTTGCACTAGACTAGCTCCCTATTGCATAGGGATAGCCTACGATTGCACTTGGATAGCCACACTACTCCATTTCTCTAGGCTACCCCACTGTTGCACTAGCCTAGCCCCACTCCTTATCTGAGTCCTTTGGTCCCACCCCCTCCACTACAGTTCCTCACCTCCAATAGACAGATCCTTGATCCCACCCACCACATGTGGTCCCGCCCCTCACTTGTCCCTGATCTTATTGGTCCTGGTGACATCATCAATATCCATGCGGATCTTGAGGCGCAGGTGGCTGGGAGCTGAAGGCTTCGATGGATCTGGAGGGTCCTCGGGGTCCAGGAGGACAATGCCTGCCCAGAGGCGACGCTCACCCAGCAGCTGCAGCGCCCTGGACACCAGGGCCGCCTCTGAGGGCACTGCCTCCAGCTTATCCAGGGATATGCACTGTAGAGGCCAGGATGACAGGGTGCCTCAGCTCCCTATCCTCCCCTAGGTGCGTACACCCTGGGCCCCTCACACGCTTGGTGACCACACCCCTGGGTTCCTCACATCCTGGTGCCCACATCCCTGGACCTGGCTCCCCCTTCAGACCCAAGCAGAGTCAGATGTGTCTTAGATCCATCCCCAGGGCAGGATCAGTCTGTTTCCTCTAGATCCCCCCTCCATGGTACTCCTCACCTCCATGATTTGGCCCAGGGTGCCCATCAAGTGCCCCACGTCTGCATGGGCCTCCCGCCAGCTGTAGCCACCCCGGCTGGGGTCCAGGAAGGCTCTGATGGCCTCCACCTGCGCCTGGCCTCTGGGGCTCAGCTGCCTCTGCCCTCTAACCTCCAACAGCCTCTGGGACGGGGCAGGAGAGGTTAAAGGGGGTCTCTATCACACCTCTCACCTGTCCATCACTCCTCCCACCTGTCCATCACCCCTCCTACCTGTCCATCACTCCTCCCACCTGTCCATCACCCCTCCTACCTGTCCATCTTCCCTTAAACCTGTCCATCACCCCTTTGCACCTCCAGAACACCCCCCCAGAGGAGCCACCCCCTCCCAGCCAACCTGGAGTAAGGCCATATTTGAGCTGTCATTCATGAAGTTGAAGAGCTGGGGTCCCAGGACCCCCCAGACTTCAGGCAGGTCTTTCAGCAGTGCAAGCTCCTCAAAGGTCCGGTTCACCTATGTTGGGCACACGGGGTCAGCCTCATCCCATACACCCAGGCTCTGACAGGACAGTAGCCCCTGCCCCTCAGTCTCTGAAACTTTTCCTTTTCTTGTTTTAGTATTTTGGACACAGTTTGTTGCCCTAAAGCACATCAGCCATGGCCCCAGCTCCTCACTGGGTGATTCTAGGCTGTCATTCAAATCCTTAGCCCCACCCCTAGTCCCTCACTGGGGGATTCTAGCCTGTCACTCAGCCCCTTGGCCTCACTTCTAGCCCCTCACTGGGGTCTCTAGGCTGTCACTCTACCCCTGAGCCACACCCCCAGACCCTCACTGGGAGATTCTAGACTGTCACTTTACCCTGAGCCATGCCCCCAGCCCCTCACAGGGGATTCTAGGCTGTCACTCTATCCCTGACCTACACCGCAGTCCCTCACTGGGGGATTCTAGGCTCCGTTGTTCCCCTCTGGTCCATCTCACCTGTGCCATGAGCTGCCGGGTGAAGTTTGTGTCAGGTGTGAACAGAATTTTTCCAAGGATCAGTGGCTTTAGGCGCCTCCAGAGCAGGTGTGATAGTGGGTGGTCATCCAGTGCTCCCATTAACTCAGAGCAGGCAGGGCCTGGCATGAGGATAAGATGAGGCTCCCCAAACCTACACCCTGTATGATCATGGGGAACCTGGCCCAACCACATGACTCACTGAGGCTGCTATCAGGCAGGGTAGGCACCAGCTCAGGCCCCAGGAAGTCGCTTAGTTGGCTGGCGTCATACCAATTGAGGGAGAGGCCACCTGGGCTGCTAGGCCCCTTGGCACTGCACAGGGCTTCCGACATCAGCTCTAGGGGCCCAGCTATCCCTTTGGGCCTCCGCAGCAGACCTCGGAGCTCCATCAGGCTGGGCAGGGTCAGCAGCTAAGGAGAAATGACCACGGTGCTGACCACCTTCCCAGAAACCACCCCAGCACCATTTTCTTTGTTGTTTGTTTTTTTTTAGCACAGGGTCTCACGTAGCTGTAGTCCAAACACACAAAGTAGCTCAGATTGTCCCTGAACTCCTGATCTGCCTGCCAATAACCCCCAAATGCTGGGATGGATGACAGGTATGGGCCACCACACCTGGTTAATGTGGTTCTGGGAATGAACCCAGGGCCTCATGCATGCTAGGTGAACACTCTACCCACTGAGCTACAAACACACTATTCACTGAGCTACAAGCACTCCACCTACTGAGTTACAAGCACTCTACCAACTGAGCTACATCCTTAGCCCTTGTTTTCGATTTAGATGCTCTCTCACTCTAACCCAAGGTAGCCTCAAGCTCACACTCCTCCTACCTCAGCCTCACAAATGCTGGGATGGATGACAGGTATGGGCCACCACACCTGGTTAATGTGGTTCTGGGAATGAACCCAGGGCCTCATGCATGCTAGGTGAACACTCTACCCACTGAGCTACAAACACACTATTCACTGAGCTACAAGCACTCCACCTACTGAGTTACAAGCACTCTACCAACTGAGCTACATCCTTAGCCCTTGTTTTCGATTTAGATGCTCTCTCACTCTAACCCAAGGTAGCCTCAAGCTCACACTCCTCCTACCTCAGCCTCACAAATGCTGGGATGTCAGATGTATAGCACCACGCTGAGCTTCTAACTTGCAGTATGAATGGGGAGGGATGCAGCCCATACCTCCCACCTGAGCTGTGTGCACACTGCTTCCTGGCTGGGGTGGAGCTACGTGGGGACTTCTCACCTCCTGGGCAAAGTCCTTAGCAGCATCCAGAAAGCGGGCCAGGGGGTCCTGGGCTTGCCCCATTGCAGACACCAGGGAAGCCTGTGGACAAACAGCAGGGGTGGAGATGGGATGACATTTGTGTGCCATCAGGCCTAGTTTCCCTGGTGCTGGGATGAACCCAGGGCCTCATGCATGCTGGAAGAACACTCTACCCGCTGAGCTATAAGCACTCTACACACTGAGCTACAAGCACTCTACACACTGAGCCATGGCCACTCTGCGCACTGAGTCCCCCTCCCTCACCATCTCCCTTGTATAAAACCAGGAACCAAAGGCTTGAGAGGGGAAGGGCTCTTTATAGACCACATACTGGGTACCCCCATGCCAACCCGGCTTTACCCTTTTCAGAAGCGTCTCCAGGATCTCTGTGGTCAGCATGGGCTGTTCATTTGGCTGGTCATTCTGTTGTAGCCAAGCTGCAGGGCCGGGATGCTCCATCAGGCAAAGCCCAGCTTGACATGACAGCCTACCCCTATGAGTGTCCTTGTCAGGCACACTGAGGCTCTGAGTCCCTGTCTCTTTACCTTCACTTTGCGCAGCTCTGAGCAATGGCAACAGTTTCCTGAGAGCAGCCAGTGTGTCTCGGGCACTGCGGCCTCCCAGCACTGAGCGGGCATCAGCCAGGAGCCGGGAGACCCTGGGGACAGAGATCAGACAGAAGATGAAGGCTGGCGAACAGAGCTCGCCTGTCATCCCAGCACCCAGCAGGCAGAGGTAGGTGGATCTCTGTGAGATTGAGGCTAACCTGGGTTACATAGTGAGTTCTAGGCCAACTGGGGCAACAGGGAGACCCTGCCTCTAAAACAAAACAAAAATGACAACAACAAAATAATGCGGGAGCTGCAGAGCTGGCTCAGCAGTTAAGAGCACTGGCTGCTCTTACAGAGGACCCAGGTTCAGTTCTCAGCACCCACATGGTGGCTAACAACCATCTATAACTCCAGTTCCAGGGCATCTGATGCCCTTTTTTGGCCTCCAAGGACATCGGATGCACAGGCGCACTCATGTACATACAGGCAAAATACTTATGAACATAGAATAAAAATAAATATTTAGAATTGAAAAAAAAAAAACAAAAAAACTGAGCCGGGTGTGGTGGCACACACCTTTAATCCCAGCACTTGGGAGGCAGAGGCAGGCGGATCTTTGTGAGTTCAAAGCCAGCCTGGTCTACATAGTGAGTTCCAGGACAGCTGGGGCTATAGGGAGACCCTATCTCAAAAAGACAAAAAACAAAATAAACAAACAAAAAACAGAGAGCCAGCTGGCTGCACCCTTTAACTGTGCTCACAGGGAGTTTTTAAAGTTGCTCAGGACCCCTGGCTTCTCTCCTGGCGTTGGATGTTGGAAGCAAGAGTTGTTTAAGTTGCAGATCAGTCCTTGGAGCCAGGGCACCGTGCCTGCAGATGGCAGTGGCTTGTTGGGGAAGTGGCCTGGGTGGGGGGAGACAGCAGCTCAGACACTGTCCACCTCTGTGACCAGCCTGGTCCAGATTTGCATGCTCAGTGGATGGGAGAGCTCACTATCAGTTCCCAGGGACAGCTTCCCTGCCCACCCCATGCATACAGTAGGTCTCACATTCGTGGTGCTCTACTGGGGGGTGCGAGTGACGAACGGCCACCAGGATGAAAAACAGGAACAGGGGCCACAGCAGTTCCACGAGTAGCTGGATCTGAAGAGAATGTGTGGGAGATGGTGATTGACACCTGTCATCTCCCTCCACCTCCTCCTGCATCCCCGGGCATTACCGGCTGTCTCCTGCGATAAATGTAGTTTTTCCAAAGTAAAAGCGCCAACTGAGGGCAAAAGGCCATGATGACTCTGGAAGGGGGACAGAGCGGAGGGGTGAAGACGAAGGTCAGGCCGAGGGCGTGCTGTGCGACGTCGGGGAACGTGCTGTCGGTCTCTGATCCTCATCCTCCCATCCCTGGGCGGGGTGGGAGGGCGCTCTGAGAATCTTCATGAAAGCCTGGCAGGCAAACATTAGGCACTGGATAAAGGAAATCCCCGGGGTGTAACAAACCAATGGGAGCCAGGACCGCAGCCGTCCTCGTAGCTGATTGGTTGGCAGGGCTGTTGTTCTTTGTAGGGGCTGAAAGTTGGGGGTCCTGAACACCCTGTTCGCATTCGCAGGAGGCGGAGCTTCGGCTTAATGCTTTGGTCACCGGGCTCCACCTGACCCTTTTGGTCACCGGGTCCGTCTGCCCCTCACGGACCCACAGTGAGAACTGTGGGGACCACGTCACACGCCCGGCTGGTGTCCCACTGTACAAAAATGGAAACTGAGCCTCAAAAAGGAAGCAAAGCCACGGGAACCAGGTCACAGAACGCCCTACATTAGGTATCAAGGCTCAGCCTTGTAGATTAAGGCTCAGACAACCTCAAGCTTCGGAATTAAGAGGCAAGGGCAGGCTCCTGGAACCAGCCATTCCTGAATCAGTCTTTTTTTTTTCCTCCAGAACTGTCTGGCTCTAGTCTACTTCCTGATACAAACCGACAAACCAGGAAACTGAGGCTGACAGGGGAGCAGGAAGTTGACCAATTTTAATCTGCTTGGGCACGAGTGGCTTCCACCCTGGGGCGACTCATCTTCTACAAAGTGGATTAGTGATCTGGGGGGACCGACGTCCTTTGGAATGTGGGGCGCTGCAGTGTCGGACGATGATGGTTCCCCCACCCCCTTAGTGACCAGAGAGATGCCCTAGACTGCCGGGGGGATCAGTGATTAATCCTTCCCACTCTCGCGGGAAGGGTAAGGAAGGGCGAGGTAAAGTCGGGGTTCACCTGGCACTGGTGATCAGGGAACGAGACTCCGCCCACCCGTCCCCACCTCGGCACCCCCTGCTCTCCAGTCTTCACCTTCCACCCTCTTGGGGTCCCCCTCACCGTTCCGGGGGCGCTCAGCTCCTTCTACCTCCGCCCGGCAGCGGCAGGGAGCGCGCGGCCCCTTTAAGAAGGGCCCCTCCCCTGGAGCAGACGCCCTTTGCTACCCAGGCCAAGGGCTCAGCCAGAGCCCGCCCTACACGCTGCCTATTGGTCAGTGGTCCTGCCAGTCACGCGCCTGGGCCATTGGAGGAGGCGGGACTATAGCGGCGCGCGGAGCCCGGTTTCTTAAAGTGGCCGCGCGGTTTTTGCTTCATCACTTTGGGTGGCAGCCATCCCAGCCGCCCACGGGGGGAGCACTCTCACGCGGGACACACCCATGGGCCACAGCGGGTGAAGACTCCCACGTGAATTCTCGCCCGCAATACTACAGCTTTTCCCTGCAGGAGACCCCTCAGTCCTCTCTTCCCAGGGACTCTAAAATTTATTTTACATTATTTTTTAATTTA